GACAACGTTATCGTAAGTTTTATCTGTAAACGCGAATATCTGCAATAGCTAGAATAGGTATAATACGGATGATAGTCACAAATCAGGGGGTGTCTGTCTAGTAAATTCACTGAGGTGTGTAACTATATTTTCTTTCAGTTCGATAAATCTTTACCATTGCTATTCTTTGTTAACTTCAATCTATTGTAAATATCCTAACTTTATATAACGAATCTTGTCACCTCCTTCAGGTTGATGTGGAACGAGGCACCCTTTATTATCTGTCTCCTATATTCTGTATACCTGTGTAGGATTGTTATTTAATACTGATTAACACTACACTGTTTTGTGACTATTATAGAATGTATGGAATGTGTCGGGTCTCTCAACTATTGTATTCGTTATGAACACGATGCTGTTTTGGACTGTTATAGAATGTAGATTGTATGAACGCTGGGTTGATGTGTAGAGTACTGAACTATTGTTGTGTACATTGGAATATGTATCGCGATTAATGTAGTATGTGTCGTGTGTAACGAATCTACATGTGATGTTTATGTACTTTGATAGCTGATTGCATTGTGAACATGTTCTAATAATTAATTGTAAACCATACTATTATTGACTGATTATGTACAAAATGATTCGTTGGCTGTGATTAATAAACTCTTCATTTATTCACTCAGCTCTCGTGTTGGTTGGTATGGTCAGACCTCTTGCCAAGCGAGCTGATTCCCCAACTCTCAACATGAATACTGGTTAATACAATGCCAGAAAACAGAGATCCGTTGTTCAAGGGAACACTCCAGCGTATTGAGCATGTATTGGTTGCGTGGATATGTGTGCTATATTAATATCCTAAAATAATAATAATAATAATCAGTCCTTTGCTTTTTTGTTTATCTCTGACTCCTTTGAGCTTTTGGCTCAATAAAGAGGAGGCTTACCATCCCGGACCTCCTCAGCACAGATCCCCAACGCCTCGTACTCATCTCCTTTACATGGATAACATTGAGCTCCTTGCCAAAGGAGATACCAATTGGAAAGAACAAGTGTTCTCCTTGTCGGGTCCTTTTCTAATGATATTGGCATGACATTTGGACTCGACAAATATATGCATATATGCAGTGTGTGGAACATAATATCAATCCCACCGAATCCTTCGCCTGGATGAAGTCGGCTGGTCTCAAATGTGAAACTGGGGGCTTCCTTTTTGCTGCTCAGGACCAGTCAATTCCCTCTTGTAATCGCCTAAATGTGATTCTTAAAGAAAATATTAACATGAAATGCTGACTGTGCAATGAATTTACAGAGACTGTCCAACACCTTGTCAGTGGATGCCCTTCCTTGGCACAACAGCATATCTTAAACGACATGATGCCATGGCTCGTTGCTTTTACCGTCTCCATAATGCCTGTGGCTTTGACTCCGAGGTCCATCCATGGAACGACCCTGAACATGTCCATGGCGTCATGGAAAATGATGCCTTCAAGCTTCTGTGGAATATGCCCATATGCAGCCTGAGAAGAATTCCTGAACAAACCTGAACTTGTTCTTTTTGATAAAGCCAATGATTTTATTTATATCATTGAATTTTCTGTCCCTTTTGACAGCAATGTGATTGGCAAGATTCAGGAGAAGCAGGCTAATTGTGCGGACCTCGCCTTTTAAATGTCTCGCTAGCATCCCAAGTACACTGTCGTCAGACTCCCCATTGTTCTCGGTGCCCTTGGTTTGGTACCCCCTGATCTCTTGGCGCAGATCAGGAGAGTGCCCGGGTTCTCCACCGGGAGTACAGCCCTTCTGACACTCTGGGTAATGCAGAAGGCTGCAGTGTTGGGGAGTCTACATATTCTCCGGAAAGTTCTTAGTGGGTTCGACTAGGCAGCGTTTCCTGGGAGAAGTCCCATTCGCTGTCTGGGCTGCGTGTAGAGGGGGCAAGGACCCCGAGCTGATGATGAGCCTAACCAGCCTGACTGTGGATCACCCGTATTCTCTCTGCTGCATTGTCATCTTAATCTGTAAAACATAAAATAATGACATGAGTCAACCAAGTCATCGGGCCTGACCACCCGATCACGTTAGTGGCCTCTTACGACAAGCATGGAATACTGAAGACCAATTCTCATCTGAATCTTCACGGGTTACCAGACATATTTGGGATAACCTTGACCAGAATCACCGTCCAAACCTTTCGATGAACAGATGTCAAGTGGTGAACTTCATTAAGCCCCCCTCAAGACGCACATAAGACTTCCCGTGGTGACAGCCATGGAAAAACATGAGTTTTTCTGAACCGTATGATCCTTTGACTCATAAAACACGACAAAATGACTGGATTCCATGTTGATTTAATGATGATAATTGCTCATTTAAAAAAAACCCACACTGACATTCATACAAAAAAATGTCTGTGCAAGTATGGCCCACGAATGTTTAATTTTGAATTTATTGGTAAATGTGAACATTCAAAATGTCATTTTGCATGTCTTACGATTCAAGGTCAATACCCAGTGTAACCTCCATGCGACTATATGACAGCCAGCACCCTCCTCCTCATACCCCCTGTCACCCTCCTGATCCTCTGAAGGGCAGTCTACGCCATGCCTCGTGTAAAGCAGCTTCCAATTGGGCCAGGTTATGTACAGGATGATCCCTTTGTTGCACAAAACGACCAATCATGTCCCAGATATGCTCCAAATGGTTAAGATAGGAGCTCATTCAATCGAGAGATATGTCAAGGTGTGCTTAACTAAGTTCTTTGTGTATAGATTAATGATTAGACTTTGAAAATATATAACTGTGACATAAACAAAACACCACAGGCAAGTTGAAAATGGAGCTCTAGTAAGGTCGGAGAATTAGAACCTGAGGAATATCAAATTCATTAAGAGTTTCTGCATTACATTAAGGGCTATGTGGTAGGAAAATAATTTGGTTCAGGGACTGTAAGGCAGACAAACGAAGATGTAACTTTGTCTTATTCCGAACTTTATCACCAAGATCATCGATCATCTAGTATGTTGTCGGATATATATTGAAACAGAATGAGAAATGGTGAAGACATGGCCGCTAAAGACTCCTACAGATGCTGAATTTCCGTCTGGGGTAAAATGGCAGCTGTCTCTCTTTGCGGTGCATTTACAGTCTTGCCCTGTCCTTTGTTATGTCAGAAATGAATGTTTTTCAATGATTTGTTTCTGTTTGCTTATATGTCAGCCTAACCTCGTATGAACGGGTAGCAGCTATAGTTTACTCATGTGTATAAATTTGCTTACATGAGCACATTTGCATACATGCAAAACTTCTTCGTATGAAGGGGGCTTTAGTTACAAGGCAGATATCCAGGTAGTATGGGATATCAAAGGCCGTTCACTTGCGTTTTCCTAAGGCCTCAGGAAAGACGGATTCAAACGGGCCGTATCATCCCATACCACCTGGCACATGGCTGTGTAACGAGTGTATAAGGCTACCCTTTAGATTAGGGTGTCTTTTCCGGCACCATTTTCATCTGTTTCCCTCCTAAATATCTGCCTCGGTGTGAGGCGCAAAGTATTCCGCCATGTCATGTCGAAACCAGTGTAAGTAAACTTAGGCTCAGTATTATTGGTTACACTGCTATACTGAGTCTAACAAACCCTAGTAGAAGGTCGCGTCAGCTAACCTTTTGGACTGACCAATCAGAATACAGCTTACCAAATCGCGAAAGTTACCATTCGCACATACCGTTTGAACTTTTACCTAACAAACTCGAACGATTCCGAATGCTATTTTCTACACGATCGCTTCCGAGTGATACAAATGGATGATGCAATGAGTGAACAGTCGCTGAAAATAGCGTTTTTGTCAATATTTAAGGATGTCATCTTGCGGAAATGTAAGCTAATAGTAACCATGTCATTAGAAACCCATAAGCGTATATACTGCAGGTCAAATATCTGTGTTTTATGCGGGTTTCCGTTTGTTGATAGATCAGTGTCAGCGACGGGGATGAGAAAATCCAAAAACCTTTTTGTAAGTCCCACCGAACCCTAACAAGTAGTCGTTGTCTGATTGGTTAAATCCGTTCGGCCGTCTCGCGTTTGATTGGACGGTCATATAGGTCGCTCAAAGGTTAGCTGACGCGACCTACTAGGGTTTGTTAGACTCAGTATAGCAGTGTAACGAATAATACTGAGCCTAAGTTTACTTAGACTGGTCGCAGACGAACATTATCGATGAATATTCAAGGGACATAACTCTAATTCAAAAGTCTTCTAGTCTATCTATAATGTCTATTAACATTTTTGTGCCCATATGATGATATGGACAAATTCGTCTGTAGATCATCGCTGTTTTCTATTACCTGCAGTCAGTGGGCACAGAAGTGACACTTCTGATGAAACTGATGAAGTAATTCTCGACTCGGCTTCATGTGGAACTAACAAGTCCATAGATGTGCCAAAGATTTAGGCCGGACCCAGACCAGATTCTATTTATGATGATTAAGTCATCATAATTATAACACTGTTTTATGCACAGCGTCTCTCCTATATTATGTTTTTTTCTTGACATTAAAGACAACGACATATACTGTCAGGAATGATGACACAGACTAAGAAAATCAAGACAGAGCGAGAACTCGTTTCATTGTTTGTATTACAAAGAGATTTATACAAAAGTTAGAATGTCATTTCACATTTAGAGATTCAAGTGGCAGATGATTACAGAATAGCGACATCTGAAACGTCAACGATGCAACACAGCATGTTTAATAGGGAACATTGACTGTAGTTAACACGAAAATATAAACACTGGTGAATCAGTTTCATATTTAGTTATTTTCACCAAAACAACAACAACAAAATTTTAAAAACATAGAAAACCTTGTGATAATCAGAGCTAACTTCCGCATATCAGTAGCATGACGTGGCGAATTACCACAGCCAATGAAAACAACTTTTAACGGGACAGCAGAGAAGACTGGATCATCTGGTTGTATTGTATCAGATGAAGCATACCTATACTTAGCCAGGCCCTGTTGTCACCATCGCGCATGTGTGTATTCCCAGCTATGAATAGATACAGGCTACAAGCTCGAGTGGAGGCGCGTCATAATATGAGTCCAGGATAAACAACTTCGAGGTAGTTGAGAGCGCAATGTACGTGATGGCTTAAAGGTCACATGCAACCCAAAAATCAAACATAATTAAAACACAATTGTCACTTATTCATGACATATAATATACATTGCTGGTTACGAAAAAATATATACACAATATCATAAGCGTACAAGTGCAAAATTGTGTACTTCGGTTTACTTCCTAAGAAACGAAGCAGCCGGGATACCGAACCCAGTCAGAGCGGGTGGGTGTGCACTCAAGTGTAACGGCTGGTTCATTTGCAGATGCCTTCACGGCTAATTGTGTGAATATACATATATAGAGATGTTGGGTTTTGTAAATACATGCTCATTTTTTGCGTATAACATTTTGCAATCAACAGACATCATAACATGTCATGTGTTCAAGTATCACACCTGCCTGTCTGTGTAATTACATAATGTGACAGACACCGAACTCGGGCCATAAACCAATGCATTTTGTTTATGGTGTATAGCCTGATTGGTGTTAAGTTAAAATTGCATGTGGTCAGTGATAGCAGCTGTGTATTGAATATTGTCATCAGCAGACAGGCAGGCAGACACACAGGTGTCAATAAAACAAGACATTGAGTTCTGTCTGTGACAACGACATATCTATATCACAGTTAGAAATTCTGTCAACGCTAAATAATGACATTGCTTTTTAAGTATCGAACTGAGAAAGTGTCTTGGTAAGAAGAACGTGTGGTGAAATAGACAAATGAAATTATATAAACAGTTAATTTACTGTCATAACATATAAAAAGCTCGCGCCTGTGAGATATCAACAAAACATTAGAAAAATAGCTCACACCAATGCCTTCACCGAGTATTCATCCGACAACCCGCTTCCAAGCTGCGCGAACCTATTTACTTGCGCACGTGCTATGAGCGCAGCCCAGCTGTTGAAACCCGTTTTCCCCGAAAAGTCTGGGGAAAATTAGTGAATCGTTTGAACTCCGATTTCGCGCGTTTTTTTTCATCGCGTTATTTTTCAACTTTATAAGTTGAATTTGCATTTTTGACGATTTGTTTCGGTATGTCCACACCGAAAGGTATCAGAATCTGAAAAGTTGTGTTTTACGTTGCATGTGACCTTTAAGTGTCTCCACACCTGTAAGTATTCCTTCTTAGCGTCAACAGAAATGTACAAGCGCTGTTACCTCGTTCAAAATAATGCCTTGTCATGTAAAAATCGAAATGCTAAACATAGATCTGTACCCGGAAGATATGCCAGGTCTGACAAAGTTTTGCTAACACTGTTACCTGAAAGTAATGTTAGCGTATACATGCACATTAACCCATTTAAACATCCCAACAGCAATTAACGTTCATCGTGATAATTGTGGTGTTCCTCTTTATCATAAAATGAAGTCATTCAACCTGATCTAGCGAATAATAGTATCTCCAGTGGTTTGCATAGCAACAGAACAGCCTCTGTCAGGTGCAGTCATGCAAACACGATGTAGGTAGCTGGCTACCCACAGCTTCAGAGGTGTGCTTAATCCATCCATGCGTGCAGATACTCCCCTAATTAGCTCTCCCGGGAAATCCGAAATATACATTTTAGCCTTCTCGGTACGACACCGTATTTACAAAACCTAACATCTCTATATATACACACACACAATGAGCCGTGGGGGCATCGGCAAATGAACCAGCCGTTACACTTGAGTGCACACCCACCCGCTCTCACTGGGTTCGGTATTCCGGCTCCTTCGTTTCAAGGGAAGTAAACCCAAGTACAAAATATTGCACTTTTGATTTGCGATTGTACGCTTTTAATTTTGTTTATATGTTTTTTTCATATCAGAATGTATATTATATGTCATAAATAAGTGATAACTGTGTTTTAATTATGTTTGATTTTTGGGTTGCATGTGACCTTTAAGCAATCCACTCCTTTGATGATCTCCTCGGTGCATTATCGCGATAATGACATCGCGAGATATTGAACGAGCCTACAGCTCAGCAGGAACAGAAGTCGTGACAATTGTTGTGAAAAATGAAAGCTATATGTTCTCACAATCTGCTGTCATTTAATTTTGTCACCTGCTTTGCCTAGCCTCCGAGTGGGCCTAGGACAAATGCCACCCGGACAAATGCCACCTAGGACAAATGCCACCCAAATAAAAATAAAAACCACCAAGACAATAACATTTTTAAAAAGTCAACATTACTATGAAATCAAAATTTTACATGAAAATCAACTTTTTTTTATCAAAGTGAATATATTTTTTAAGAAACCATCATCAAAGTCTACATAATTTTACAACAAAATCAACATTAAAATCAATATGGGTGGTAATTGTCTTCTCTGTAATGGTAAAATAACTGGGTGGCATTAGTCCGGGTGGCTTTTGTCCTGCTCCCCTTCCGAGTTACAACTTGTTTTCCTAGACGATTCTGTCGTAATTGCCTGGTGTCGCTGGGCCTTATTTGTTCGAGCCAGCCGCTAGTGATAGTGAAAACTATGATCAGCCTCGCTCATCTCGGTTACGGTTAATTTCTTCAACCTAAGCAGTGCGACATTAGGGAGGGGGGATGCCCATCAGATGCCGTTATTTGAACATTTCCCCGGTAGTTCTTGTCTGATTGTATTAAAGTATCAAAGCAGTGTGGGCTTTTGCAGGTTTTCAAATGCCTGGATGGTATAATGACTGATCATAATTGGTCCCATTTCTGTGGGGTTTTACCTCGATATTTTTTCACGTCATGTAAAAATATGACGTATAATATTAAAAAATGACATTTGATCTATTTGAATCCGTAAACTAAACAACCCCACTTTGCCATTGCTAGAAGACTCTGAAAATTTACTTAGGTAAATAGGTACATACAGTCTTAGCACACAGCAAATGCTTATATGTATTTCTTATGCAACAATGAAGTTCTGTCCGTATTCTCAAAATAGTGTCGGCCCATAGGTTTTCACATGCAATTAAAATTGCATGCAATACAGCAATTAATACTCCCTTGTTGTAACCCGTGTTAGGTGGTATAAACCTACACATGTTATTTGTCATCATTCACTTGATGGTCAGTTAATGAAAACAGGTATAATTAGTGGTAACACCACTTAGATAACCCGACAAAGGCTCCCCTTCTTTTTGTATTTCTTGTGTCTGGAGTAAATACTCAACATTATAAACATCGATCAAAGGATTAACCGATAACACGCTGATTAATTAATTATTTTTATCTTACACAGCGGATTTGTCAAAAGGTAGTGTTTATGTATGTAGATTTACTAATCTATACTGAATACACTCTGTCGTGTCTGTGTCTGCGTAAAACAACTTCCTTCTTTCAAAGGATTAACCGCCAAGACATTGATTGAATGCTCATTATTGGCTAACTAAATTACCTTTTTGTAAAGAATGGCGGACATTATGCAATTAGTTCCCAGGTATGCTGTCTTGGGTGACCAATGAGACTATATACCAATGTGAAATACCTGAAACGATATATCACTTTTCGTTAACATGTATTACACTGTTAAAAGACACATCATTGGGAACAGTCGAGGTGAATGGCATATCACTCATTTTTGTGGATATTGATGGATACATTCCTCGAACAAAGTAATAGCCTGACATTGTTCTTATAACTCTAATCTGTTTTAATTTGAATAATTGCATTTTGTTTTTATTCATTTGTCGTAGCATTCCACAGAATCATTGTTTTCGTCGTGAAGTAATGAGACAGACAACATACACAAGGGCGTGTGTGCGAATTATGATTTACATTGGCAAACTATAAATGAAAATGTCTAGATATTCAAGTTTATAAGTATAGGCGTGCGCCTGATTTTTATTTAGTTTCAAAATGCATACAAGTATGATAATAAACTAATTAGGATTATAAGACCAAATATAAAGACGCACGTTGACTAGTATCTACATACTGGTGAGTGGACGTTAACCACGTGAATGTAGCAAGAAATTTATTGCGCAGTATTGTCACTTCGACCCCCACCTCGCTTCCGAGGAAGAAATCGTTATGTTACAAGTTGTGTCATGCCAAATCCTGTTGGTCATGATTCAAATACATATTTAAATACGAGTAGAAAGAAGTTTTGATTTTCTAACTTGATGAAAACAAACCATAATCTCATTAATTCTTTAACAGACTTTAGCCCGTGATGTTACGATTATTAAAAATGGCAGCGCCCTGTCGCGAACATCCGCCACTCTGAGAATAAATGCTATTTAGGTTTGTTTTCACCGAGTTACAAAATACAAACTACTTTCTACTGGTAGTAAAATATGTATTTGATTGATGTCCAATAGGATTTTGCGTGACATATCTTATAACATAACAATTTCTCTCGTGGAAGCGAGGTGGGTGTCAATATAACACTACTTACAATATTATTGTCACTTCCACCACAACCTCGCTTCCGAGAAAGAAATCGTTATGCTTCAAGTTGTGTCATGGAAAATCTTTTTGGTCATCAATCATATATATATTGTACTACAGCTAGTAAGTAGGTTTGATTCTTTAACTTCCGCGAAGCGATCTGAACACATTTAAGATATCGTTCCAAGCTTCCGCAACGCTCGCTTCGCACTCACAAACATAACCCATTTAGCACGAACTACGGGGTCTGGTGGAAATTAGTGCATGGTGACACCATCACCCGACCCCCTAGGAGGGCAACGCAACGATTGACGGCAACGCAACGATTCGTTTTGCTTTGAGTAAGTTTCGTTGTTCAGACCATCCTTTAATGTTGGAATATGGGCGAAAAGTAAATATAAAACAACATGAGCGATTCTGCCCTCTGTGTATTGTACTTACCATTGAATCAGAGTACCAATTCTTTATTGAATGTTCATTTTACTGTGTTCTGAGAAACAGCCTGCTCCCACAATACTACATGAATAATCCATGTGAAACTAAATTTATCAACTTATAATTATCTTGCAAGTCTACAACTGTTAACAATCTTGCTAAGTTTATATTTCTTGCATTGACAAAAAAAGCGAAGTTTTTGAATATAGAGAATAAGATTAAATGAGACATTGTACATGTTAGCATACAGCGAAATATTATATATGGCGCTGGATTGTATTGTCATCTTTATAATTGTATAACGGGTCGGTGGCCCCTGTACGAAATTAACTCTCACTCACTAGATATAAGCTTACGATGACACGTACTTAAACTAAACGTGACAAAATTCACTTTTCACCCAATACATTGAACATTTAAAATGTGTTCACCACTGCAATTTCGACAAGTCAAGTCGATAATCCTTTCGTTAATCCCTTAAACAATCATTACTAAAACAACACCAAACATCAAAGACTACCGCCAGTCGCCTTAACGCCCCCATCAAACACTCATGCCGCCCCCATGCCACAATAGCAATTAGCCCATGCAGAACAATCATTGACCATCACCCTCCAGTTATCTCCCCTTGCGGATATTTCCAAAATTGGAATTTTTTGGAAACATCATCTTTCCAAAATTGGAAATGTCTTGGAAACATCATCTTTCCAAAATTGGAAATGTCTTGGAAACATCATCTTTCCAAGACATTTCCAAGCTTGTAAATGTGGATTTTTTTTCCAGTGTCGTGTCGCTAGTAATAAGTACAATTCTCTTCAATGCAATGCTAAACCCGAGTTCATCTCCTCCTTCACAGTCGTGACGATATATCTCCATGCAAGTTCGACCGATATCATAAAAAGCTGCATTTTCTCTTAATCATACTGTCATCTTAATAACATTTCACTGATGCCTCAAAGGATTCTGCAATGTATCTACAGTTTGGACACATTGGATTTCTGATTTTTCTCGTATTGGCTGCAGAATGTGTTGTCATCAGTGAGTGAATGAGTGAGTGAGTTCATTTAGAGCTTTGCTGTTTGTTTTCTAATCCCTGCACATCTAAGGCGTTTAACCCAATTAACGTGCTTGCTTACTTCCATAATCTCAAGTGGACACCATGTCTCCTACATTATAATGGACACTGATATTCTTCACCAAGACTCACTGATCACTATGGGTACTGGAAATCATGCCCGTTGATCACCATGCACAGAGACGTTTACAAGACAAGATTTATGTATCCCCCCCAACACTGTTATATGGCATTGTAAGTTATTGTTAAACAATGTTGTAACTGAATTGTTCCTCAGTAGAGGTTCATCACACTGTGTTCTAACAATAATTATGTCTTGCAAAGTACTGCTAACTAATGTAATCCGAGGCGTGGTATACACTTTGTTTTAAAACTTTGGGACTCAAGAGCTAGAGACTAACCCAGTATACTTTGGAACTGTCTAGAGTGTGTGAGTCAGTTTAATTTCTTGACGCTTTTGCCAATATTCCAGCAAAATGGGGTATAATGGGCTTCACACATTGTACCCACTGGGTCTTCGGTGTGACGAGCGAACGCTTTAACCATTACACTACCCCGCCTGCCCCATTCTCCACAGAATCGCAAGAGGCAAGTAATGGCATAGTAATTTAATCAGGGTGACATATCTTTAAAACAATTTGCGGGTATCAGTTCATATTTGAGCCCATTCTTGCAAAACCTGGATCGCAAAAAATAAAACCAATAACAAAATTCATGCCCATATCAAATAGTAAGATACGAATGCATTCTGATAGAATCTTTAATTAAACTATGGCAGCACATGTTATATAATTAGATTCAGGTTTTGCCTGTAGGTATTCCAACGTCGTATATTACTAGATTCATAAGCGCATATTGCAGTATTTTCAATGTGGAGTTTAAATATATTAAATTACTGCAATGACATTGACGATTATACACCATTTAAATATGTTGTGCAGTGACATCAAACAAATTTATTTTGTGTCTGATCTGTTTTGTAAAGAATTAATACTCACTTCAGAAATGATATTTTCCAATTGCAGGGTTAATTTATTCATGTATTCATGAAGCGGACTGGTTTATAATCACACCTACATGAATACATTATTCATATTTATAACACATTTGTGCTTGATCCTTCTGTTATACGCTGAGGAACCGCATGTTTACAGGTCCTAAGAATCATAGGGAAAGACCAGCTAACGTCCTCATCCTGCATTGACATCAACGTCAGAAATACAAGATTTCTTTGGTCCATTGCACTGCAGGTAACCATATCAAAGTGGGGTGAATTTCAAAAGACAGATAGAAAATGTCGGATCGTTACAGAGATGCCAGGTTGAACTTCAATCTTCGGAAGACAATGACACCGCAGCAAATAGCAGACATGTATAACGACTTCGCCGACGAGTATGAAGAGGTATGTGATATGTGTTACTTCATGTTAGGGGCGAGTCATGGTTCTATTCCACTTCCGAGATAAATATTTGACAAAAGTGAAACTGTATTATAGGCTGAGATATAGGCTGCTTTCTCTCTCGGTGGTGTTGTAATATATACGGATTATGTAATGTACTGTATATCTATGGAGTGGCATGGCAAACAGAACACGTTTGTCATTAGTTTGTTGTAAGATTCTGACTGTACCATGGGCGAAGGAATCATGTTAGGATAGTGATGGTACTATGTGTTCGCCAAAAGATGAGGGTATTCTGATACAGCTGTGGCTCCCATCACAAACACAGGTAAAGGCAAGTCACTTGTTCGCGTAAAACCAGGTGAGAAATCAATAATAAATAACTGATTCAGGAAGGTACATTAGTGGAAGAGAATTGGTTAATTAACGATATCAGATCAAGGACATGCCTGAAATTTAAGTTCCAGCTTCTGGTCAAAATAAGTTTGTTTTGGACTTGTAGGTTCAAAGAAAATACCTGATCGGTAAAGTTAAAAAACCTATTAGCAAAATGGAAGGTACAATAGATGCCCATTTCTTCTTCTCGTTTTAATGTTAAAACCACATTTCTACACACATTTTATCAAAGAGGAAGTACAACATTTCACATGGTTTTCTCAGTACACACCCCTGTGGTCTGTGAACAACGAAAGTTCACAAGATTGTAAAACAAAATGCCGGAAAAACATTTTTTGAAATTCTACATAAACAACCATGTATCATTCACATATACGTATCATAACATAGACGCATTCAAAATTCTCACATCATGCAAAACACTGCTCAAATGCATAAAAGGGTGCTTTGCTAATTATATAAGAGCTAAGAAATACAAATCAATAAAATAAAAAAACAACAACCCCTAAACATAAACAGACTGGGCTAATTTTCACTATCATTAGTCAATCAATCAATCTTTATTTACAGTACTGAAGAGGCCGTAGGCCTATAGTACATTTAACATACAGTAGCAGAGGGTGCACTATAAATGCATATATAGTAAATAATATCATATCTTTAATGCAGAGGATCTCATATTCATGGCATATATATATTGTGGGTGTTTGATTTTGAGATGCCATGAGGGTATAGAATTTGTCTGTTCGGGTGTTCAAGTAGAACTATTTCTTTATGTATTCTTTTCTGAGATTTGCATACAATGGACAAACAAGCAAGAAATGATATTCATCTTCTACCTCCTGATAAGTACAATATTTACACAATCGTTTTTTCCCGTGGTATCCCTCAATGCCTACCTTTTTCTATTAGAAGATCATGGGAACTACATCCTGAAACGGGCTAGTGCTGTTCTGAATTTCTTAACATTAATGTCTAGAAGATATTTTTCTATAAGAATGAATGATTTAAAACACGAGTAATGGTTTAACTTATTGTGTAAACATAGTGAAAAGTGCCGCTTTTGAAAATACATATCTTTTAGCCTTTGTGTTAAATGATATATTAAAGGCTCTGGTGCTATTACATTTTGTTCTCTCCAGATGTAATCATAGCCGCAAGACTGAAGTATCTTTCTGACACCAGAGGTCCAGTTAATTTTACCTCTGTCATCGTAAAGCATCATCATGTTATAACATTTTTGTGGGAATCTGGTGCTTGGCATTTTAAGCAATCTTATCCAATATATTATTACTTTTATGTAACTGAATATATACATAGGGTATCTCCCACATTCCCGATAAACTGTAACATTTGGGGTGTTAGAGTTTACTCCTAAAAATCTTTTGCACGCATATAGATGTACCTTCTCTAGTGTGTCATAGATATCTTGGCCCCATACTTCTGCACCATAGAGTAGAATAGGACTAATCTTAGTGTCAAAGCTAATCTTTGGAAGCGGTCTTATGGTTCTTAAAATGCCTATTAAAATCTTTTTAGCCTGTAGTGCGGCTTTGTTGCAGTGCAATGACCAAGTTAGTCGATTTGTAAAGAGTACACCCAAGTATTTGTAACGTCTTACAACCTCCAATCTTTCACCTTTATAAAACCATTTTTCCCGTTTTGATAATTTCCCTCCATTTATGAAAACTATGACCTTTGTCTTATCGATATTGACATTCGGTTTCCATTGTTTACAGTAGTACTCAAGTTGATTTATTAGCTTTTGAAGTCCAGGTACTGTGCTCGCGAACATAACAATATCATCAGCAAAAAGGAGTAGAAAACGTTTCATAGTTTCTGGATGTAATTGGATGCCCTCGTTACAGTGTTCATATATTTGTAGCGATAGTTCGTTGATGAAGAACGAAAACAGAAATGGACTGAGTATACATCCTTGTCTTACCCCAATTTTACAGGAGAAGGAATCAGATAGGTTGTTGTTATTTCGAACACAAGCCTTCACGTTGTGGTATATGCAGTATAATAATTTACCAATTTTAGTACTGATACCTTGAGATTTACAAAGGGAACACAGCATTTTTTTGTTAACGGAGTCGAACGCTTTAGTAAAAAACTACAAATATGGCATATATTTTTTTCCCTTTCGGGCTACATATTTCTGCACAAGTTCCTGCAAAATGAAGACATTATCAGTTGAAGAGTACCCGTGCCTGAAACCGGCTTGTGCTTCATCTATCTTATCCAAGGCATCGGCCCAAAATACTAAACGTCTATGTATAATACTGGTAAAAATCTTATTGAAAACACTCAAAAGAGTTATACCCCTATAATTGTTGGTAGATCCCTGTTTGTGCAAGGGAATTACAATCCCCAGAGTCCATTGTTCTGGAAAGAAAGACTTTTCAAGCATAACGTTAAAAAGAATTTCAAGGTAGGGGAGAATGATTTCGGATGAATATTTAAAGAATTCAGGAATCAAGTTATCTTCACCGGCAGATTTATTGCACTTTAAATTTGCAATACTTTCTGAAATTTCATTTCTTGTTATAGGTGAATCAAGAATCTCTTAAGTTAACTGGCAAAACGAATTATCGAATTCATTCGATTCATAGGTAGCACAAAAACTCTCCTTGTTCCCTGTAGAGGTTGTAAATAGTTCCTTGAAATGGGAAAACCAATCCTCGATTGGTATATTGTTTCGTGAATAACAATTAGTATTCAGCCCTTTAAGAGTGGCCCAGAACTGTTTAGAATCGCGTATACAATGTTCGAGTTTTTCCTGCTTCCCTTTGATAAAGTTCGCTTTCTTTTCTCTGCATACACTGTTATATTTATTTCTACTAATATTGTATTCCTGTAAAGAGTTATTATCCTTTTTTCTCCTCAAATTGTTTAAACATTTACATCGTTTAGTAGCTCACATTCATGGTCAAACCACTCTTTTCATATCACTTGCTGCCGTGCACAAGGCCTCTGACATGTAATATACACTTTTGTCTATATCGTGTAGCACTTCGTCGACAGCTTTTTCTAATAAAGAAACATAGTTCATTAGTCATATCCATAATGTATATATCTTATATTTACATGCTTTTCAATTCAAGTGTCATTAGGGATCTCGATGGAATGTGTATAAATAAAAAAGCGGACACCTCATTCATTTTACATTACTTCAAGAGCAGCTGTTGTGGGAAGCTAATATACATTACTACCGTTGTTGCTAGGTAACCAGTATTTATCACCGACTTGATTACTGTTATCACTGCTACAAATAAAGGCAAGATACTTTATATATATATGGATGACAGATAAACAAGGGGACTTCACATTTATTGGGCGACAAGGTAACAGCGTGGTAGACTATTGTATTGTGCCCACAGATTTATATGATTTTTATAAAGATTTTGAAATAATCACAAGAACAGAGTCTGACCACCTCCCGATTACAGTAAGCCTGTTGTTGTCACGTGACCCGCCAGCTGGTCCCGCACGTGCAGCACACACTCATACTCAGTCACATGCATTCGACAGGTACGCGTGGAGACCGGAGCAGCTCGGTGAGTTTGTGGATATTATGTGCAGTTCCATTGATACTTTCACACAGAACTTTGATAACAATATCCATAAGGACATTAATAAAACCGTAACCTGCTTGCTTGACCTTTTCAGACACTGTTTTTCTCTAACTGATACCCAACACTCCCATACACGCAAGACCCACAGACCAAAGCACGAACAGACACAACCTAAATGGTTTGACAAAGAATGTGAAATTTTTAAAACGCAGAAAGTATACACTTCTCGATAGATTTAGAGCGACAGCCGATCCTGTGCATTGCACCGAGTATCTCGATGCAAAACGAGAGACTTTAAAAACCTATGCAACCACAAAAAAGCGGTATATGAGACAGATATTGAAAATGAAATCTTAGATGCAGCAAAGAGCAATATATGTAAAGACTTTTGGAAGGCCATTAAGAAACACAGCGAATCGAAACGCAGTTGTTGTAACATATCAGCTGATAACTGGTTTGAATATTTCAGTTCACTGCTCAACCCACATAACGACCATAAATCCTACTTTGATGATGATGTAAAACACTTTATCGATAACCATGATGTCACAAATTGCGACCAATGTAAAGACTGTGACCATATGTTGTGTGATGAAATTACGGAGGAAGAAATTAGAAAATCAGTTCATAACTTGAAAACGGTAAATCCTGGGGCAGATGGTATCCGGCGGAGGCTATCAAAGCTACGTGTCATGTATTGTCACCTTTCTATAAACGTCTTTTCAATGAAATTCTTAATGCGGGGAAACTGCCAGAAGCTTGGCATTTAGGCATTATAGTCCCATTGCACAAGACAGGAAATAGAGATGATCCTAATAATTATAGGGGAATAGCGCTTCTAGACATTATCAGTAAAGTTTTACATCAATACTTGACACGCGTATAAAATCCTGGATATCAACCAAAGAACTACTCTCTGAGTCACAAGCTGGCTTCCGAAACAGTTACAGTACAATTGACCAGATATTCATACTTAACTCAATAATTCATAAATACATAAGAAAAAAACGTGGCAAATTCTACTGTATATTTGTAGACTTCAAAAAAGCCTTCGACACTGTTGATAGGAATAAATTAATGTATGTTCTTTTGAATAATGGTTTACATGGCAAAATAACCTCTCTGCTTCGCAATATGTATTCGAATGTGAGAGCAGCTGTGAGATGCAGTAAGCAGACTATGACTGATGTATTTAAGTCGACAGCCGGAGTCCGACAGGGTTGTATACTGTCTCCCGTTTTATTTATTCTATATATAGAGGAACTCGTAAACGATATTGTGAATAGCGAATACAGTGGTGCATTCATTGATGAAACTGTAGATGCATTATCTATCTTATTATTTGCGGACGACGTCGCCATATTTGGAGATAGTGTCATAAACTTGCAGAAGAAAATAGATGTTCTTAAATCATATTGCAAAAAATGGGGACTGTCGATTAATACCGAAAAGACTAAGATTGTTGTATTTAAAAAGGTGGTGGACTTTCAAAAATGAAAAATGGTTTATTGGCTCTGAAAGACTGGAATCTGTTTCCTATTACAAATATCTCGGAATAGTGTTTTCATGCCGGAACCTGTTTTCAAGAGCTTGTGAGGTTCTGTGTAAACAAGCCGAGAAGGCGTTATATCCTATCAAAAATTTATATGTCGATTTAAATCTCTTCCCCCAGATACATGCCTTAAGATTTTTGATGGCAAAATTCAACCAATCTTGCTCTACGGCTCAGAAATTTGGGGAACAATGTATCGTCATAACATTGAAAAAGTCCACTCTAAGTTTTGCAAATCTGTCCTAGGAGTTGGTTATCGCTCTCCTAATAAAGCTGTTTTAGCGGAATGTGGAAGATATCCACTCCAAGTCAATTATAAAACAAGAGTTATATCATACTGGTTACGACTACTTAGCCAGCCAGCCACAAGACACTCTAAACGTTGCTATAATATGATGAAAAATCTAGATGATAATGGAGATACTAACTGGACCTCTTCAGTTAGAACATTGTTATTTCAATACGGTTATGCACATGTATGGATCCACCAAACAGTTGGAGATCCTTATATGTTCTTAAAGCTATTCAAACAACGCTGTAGAGATATATATTACCAAGAATGGTCATCCGATATTGCAAGCTCCAAATATTTGTATGCATATTCACTATTTAAACATGACATTGTCCATGAAACATATCTAGAAGTATTATCCTCTATGCAACTCCGCAGATCTCTTACAAAATTTAGATGTGGCATCAGTAAACTGAATGTACAAACCTATAGAAGATCCAAAGATGATGATATCAGTTCTGCCATGTGCGCTCATTGCGTCAATATTGTCCAGGACGAGTACCATGTTCTGTTACAATGTCCTGTTTTTTCTGATTTACGCATCAGGTATATACCACAATATTATTGTGTAAATCCCAACATAGAGAAGTTTGTAAATTTACTTAACACCCAAAATGCAAATATTATTTTACGCCTAGCCATATTTGTAAACAAAATTCATAACGTTTTATGATACTTATAAATGCCAGTGTACTTCTCATGCCTGCGCTCCAAAGAACATGATGTCAAAATGTCACTGTACTATTGGCCTCATGGCCACTCTACGAAATAAATCTGTCTGTCTATATGGATGACAAGTTCTTTATCATATGCGATCTTCCGGTATAGATTGTTGTGTCGCTGTCAAGTCTGTCAAGCAGATATTATCAGAGCTATTGTATGTCATACTGCTATAGTAATTGTACTCTCGCTGAATGTTGTACTGTTGTAATTATTCTGTAGTAATTTGTATTGATTTGTAATCAACTAATTTTGATAATCCAAATGTTAACTTATAACATTTGTTGCTAGTTGTTGGTTTCTATTTTTAGAGTGTAGATTTCTCTCTTCACTCATTACCAAAATTTGGAAATTGATGGTTAACAGTCTTATTGTGTGTGATATCATCAATCACATTCGTGTTTAGTGTAGATACAGCCGAATCGCTACAAAAAGTCTCTTTCCTCAGAAAGTTTGAACTTGGCCAAATATTACACACATGGCATCAGGTATGCTTCAGACCGATGTCAGGAGTATTTTGATCACTTACCAGGATGAGGAAGAAAGTTTGGTTTGGTTTGCACGATCATCAATGCAGACAATGGTGATGTTTTGGGCTTTAAAGAAAACAGAATGTGTCAGAGAAGCATTGGCTGCAGAAATTATTTGCTGAAAATATGTGAAAAAAGTGATATTTGAGGCTGAGAAAGAAAAAGGAGAAAGGGAGTTTCCGATAAAGCAATTAGAAATCAAGCCAATATGGAATCGAGAAATTAACCAGTCAGGAAATTATGCTCTGAGTGTGTCTCTTTCAGTTGGGTTTGCTGGAGGACTTTGAGCAGTGCGTGTCCACATTTTGTCCAATTTCTGTTGGGATAATTGGGCATGATGTGGCTAATGGATGGCAAGTCTAATCAGAAAATCCCAGCCACAAATGTGAAAAACATTTCAGCTTTTCCAGAGCCTTTCAACAGCTTAACGCTTGGTCATATGCTTGATATCTATCTTGTTCCTCCAGTTACACTACAAAAAACTTCGTTTCACTGCCATGTTTCATGATAGTACTTCATTCCAGTAGTTTGCTCCTTGCCTCTGTCATCTTTGTCCTACAGAAACACTTGGGGTTGGGACTACGCTCTCACCTACGTATTGGAGAGTACATGGCTGATACCTACCCACAAGACCAACGGGCGACTCTCCGTGTATTGGACGTCGGTGCCGGAACAGGATTAGTCGGGGAAATGGTAAACACCTATTAGTTCAGAATAAACGTCTCTGTCGATATGAATAGGTGAATTAAACACGTGTTAGTCATTAAATCCCAAACCATTTTTGTGATGCAATGTTCTTGTTTCAGCTGTCAGAGTTGGGGTTTGTGCAAATTGATGCCCTGGACCCAGCACAAAAGATGCTGGATATTGCGAAAACTAAAAATATCTACCAACGCCTGATCTGCGCCTTCCTGAACAAGGACAGGATTGATGAGATTGAGACAGGTGCGTGATGATCAATAAAATAATTTAGTAATAAGCCAAGAAACTTTGCACTTTAAAGATCGATATACATCGCATATTTGTTTGTAAGTTTTAAAAGGACATTCTCAGTATGCAATTTATGGCAGTATATGTAGAAGTACAGATTCATTGATAGGTCAGCTGAGCATGGTACATACTGATATACTACTATTAGATGAGCCACGACCGGACAAATGACCCCAATTTGCATATATGGGGACGCCCACCAGAACATTCCATTTGAAAAATGAGGGAAACAGGTTGTCGTCTAAAACTTGAAAAGTTCAATTTCCTCGTGCGAATCGTGTTTTCATTGTTATATCATACTAAGTATGTGTACAGCTAAGTTCCTTAGAAACTGAACCAAGACATATATAACTTTATGTACAAAACACCCTACACAACTGCTAGAGAAAAGAACATTTGTCATGTTTACAAACGGATGTATTATCGGCATATATTCAGGTGTACCTCTCCACACAGGGGTCAAATACCGAATATATCCATTATGGAATTTACTGATTCAGGCGTACTTCGGTCCTCAGTCGTCACTTTCTGAATCGGTATCGGTGTCTGAATCACTTGCCAGTCCTACTTCGATCACGATTCTGTCAATTTCTTTTTCTTCTGCAGTTTCCGGTTGCCAGTAGCCATTTTCAATGGTTTAACATGTTTACAACATTCGGACCATTCCTTGGCACCGATTGCAGACATTCTCTCGTTTATGGCAACCCTTAGCGAAGTTTTTTGTGAAGTGCAAGTTTGTTCAGCAACATACTTTTTGACATTGGCCCAAATCAACTCAGTTGGGTTCAGTTCTGCGTGGTAAGGAGGAAGACGTAGTACATCATGGCCATGTTGTTTCAACATAGTGTCTACTCTATAGACAGGGCCCGATATGTTGGATTTTGCCAGACACAACAGTTCGGATTTTAGTATTTAATCGCCAAATGCAATATTGTGTCTTTGTAACCAAGCTTTGATATCATCTTTTCTGACAGCCGTTGTTGGACATTTGTCCACTTGCTTGCTGTGGCATGGCGCATTATCCATAACAATGACGGAGTGGGGTGGATTGTGTGAGATCAATTTTTCCTGCAGCCATTTGGAAAAATTATCAAAATTCATCTCGTCATGATAATCTGCTGATTTGAGCTTTGAGTCAAATACAAGTAAAGCATTTCGTACTGAACCGTTTTCGGATACTGCATGAACAACAATAAGCCGAGGTCCGGTACCGGACGGAGGCTGAACCCCATTTATCACAATCTCACCATCAATCTGCCAATATTTTGGGACCATGTGGTGTGCATGCAACCATGTTTCATCGATAAAGATGATTGTTCGATTTTCATCTCGACATTTTTTTTTATTGCACGTAAGTATTGCATGCGCTTTACAACGATGTCTTTTCGTTCCATTAAAACCTTACGATTTGACTGCGTTTTTTCGCCACCTAAACCCCACGTCTTTCAGATTTGTTCGAAAATTTTCCTTTGAACCCTGGTAATACAATTGGCTTCTTGCCATATCATATATCATATCTAGAGTAGGCAGTTGCTTTTGTACTCCATGTAAACTTTGTACAAATTGACGGACTGCACACCGGTCAAAATCATCAAGTTTGTGCTTGGAAGTTTTGGGTTTGCGCAACTTGGTTGGACTAATAAAAGTAGGCTTACTCGCACCCCTATCACCTTCCGCTTTAATACGTTTTAAAGTTGCCTTGGAAAGACCAGTAGCAAGGCTGCTTTTTGACATAGTGTCTACTTTGGTTGCACACGTCTTTTCCATATAAAAATTAACATTGTAGGCTAACTCCCTTGCATGAGAATGAACAATTTGCCCATGCTTACCAACCTTGGACATGTTAAATTACTTAAAATCTGCAAACATTCAAAAATTGACTCGTATCGAGATGGTGTCTTGCTGAACAAAATCGCTCTGTGAGACACGTGTTAAACAGAAGCGGTATTGAGTTCACGTCACGGTCAGCATGTATTGCACGTGCTTCATTGCCAATCTACCTGTAGCAACCAAGTGTGTTCGTCTAGATTCCCTGCCCCGCCTACTTGTCACAAACGCGTGTACTGCACATCTAATGCGAGTCAAGCAGTAAATAGATATCAACCCGCGAGTATCCAGGTCAGAATCAGTCTTCAGCAACACATGCCTGTCGTTAAAGGTGACTACCCCAATGCATTGATGCATTGTATCCCTGAAGATCCAAGTTCGAATTGATATTCATGCTTGTCGTAAAAGGCGACTAACGGGATCGGATGGTCAGGCTCGTTGACTTGGTTAAAACATGTCATCGTATCCCAATTGCGTAGATGCTCATGCTGTTGATCACTGGGTTGTCTGGTCCAGACTCGATTATTTACAAACCCCCACCATATAGTTGGAATATTGCTGAGGGCGGCGTAAAACTAAACTCACTCACTCACCTATTGCATAGATCGGTGCTGATGATGTCCATCATAGAATTGTCTGGTCCACACACTGTTCAGACCTTTCCTCATAGCAGGAACGTTGTTAAATGCTGCGTTAAACATCAAACAGAGAAATAAACATGTGTGTAGAGATCACCCCATGCATCAGTGTAATGGAGTCATATAGAGTCAACGACTCGTTTCAATATGCAGTAAGTGATAGTTTATGAAGCAGCACAGATTCCTTACCAGGGTAACCTGAGAACAGTACATGAATAGAGATTAGCCGACAGGTTCTGGAAATCCCAGTCCAACTCACAGAGGTACAAAAGCAGGCTTCTATTATGGTTATAATATTGGTGCTCGTTGGTGACTGTACAGCATTCGTCGATAGTTGATATTTTCTGCACAGAAGGGGGGGGGGAGCATATTTTGATTATACACCCGCTCACAACGTTTTCAGAGAATGGAGAAACTGTTCCCAATGAACAAATAGCATTAAATGCACAACATTTCCAGATTGTTGTCAAAATTACAAACATCATTTGTCAACAATCCCAGCGTGAAAACACCCAATTGTAGCTGCCATGTTCCTGTTGGGAAAGTGCCCGTCTCTCTGTTTCCAGATCAGTATGATTGCATCACTGCTGCAGGTGCGTTTAATGAGGGTCTCATACCTGTCTGTGCTTTCCATGAGATGATCAGAATCGTCAAGCCAGGTGAGTGCTCCCTCGCTCTCTGCTCGTCAGAAAGCATTGAAAGACCAACGTTACCAGTGTTGCTTATACAACATCAGTACAGTCTATCCTCAGAAACAAATTCCGTTTGGTGTGAAAAGAAAATTAGCTGTGAAAATTGCATGAATAAACCACTGAAAATCAGTGATGTCACCAGGTGTTCGCGAAAAAGGTAAGCATGTCCTGTCCTACCGGAAGAATTCTCATAACCAAATACACAAGACATTGTTTCCAGTTCAAGCGGTTAACCACTGCATATCAATCACGCCCTTAATGTTGATTAACCGTTTGAGCTTTTGTTATGTAACTTACCTGCAGCAGAATCTCTGCACTTGTACACAGAAAAGATATAAAATTTTAGAAATAAATCAACACGTCCTATCGTATCACAGGATGTTTGGTCTGATGTGGTTTGTGTACCGGCCTTCGTCCCTCCGTAGGAGTACTGCCATGCAACAAAACATATGCTTTATTGAGGAAATTATGTAAATGGCAGGAACAACAGGTAGGGCAGGACTAGTGTTGGGAATCGGAAACCAAATCCACTATCGATTATCGGAGGATTGTGGTGAATGATTAACGATTATAATCGAAATATATACATTTTTAATGTAATCACCAATTTTAAGGGTTTTTCCCCAGGTATTTTCTAATTAATGGGTTTTTTTATAACTCATGCTGTCATGCAATGACATGCACGCATGCAAGAAAGACACTGGAATTGTAATTAATCAATGAAAGTAGTTAAAATTTTACTATGTGCATAGCTTTACGCTGTTGAGCGCATGTTTGTTCGTGAATATTCCTCAAATGTGATGGTTAGTTTACTTCATTCAAGGGTGTTATACAAAAACAACAAAATTCCGATTAATCAAACATATAATTTTTACAATCGATCATCATTTTTAATCCTTCTTTCGATCGATTTTCGATTATTTTCGATCATCGGAACATCACTAGGCAGGACATGCTTATACATTTTGCAAACATCTGGTGTCCAATGGAATCTGTTTCTACATGTAATAAATACTACTTGTTATGGTTTTGCCGTTTCATATATTTGAATACCAGGGTTTGTGAGTCAATGCTATATGACCTTGACAGCGATGAACTGATTCAACTGCAATGGATTATACCTTTCAGGAGGAAGAATAGTCTTTACGATTACCGATAAATATATCGACGTCACCGACGGCTACCGAAATGATCTTCTTCCCTTCATTCAGAAGATGGCGGATGAGGGTGTTTGGGATGTAACGGCAGTTCCTCTTGCTGATGGCGCAATTCATCTTCTAGACGGTCCTGGGACCTTGTATAGTTTCAAAGTAAACGTGACCGAGAAAATTCTCTAGATCATCAGATCCCCCACATTGTTTGAAGGATATATCGAACAAGAACTGCACAAAAATGGGACATGGGAACATATCAAACAACTGGACAACTTTTGTCGACCTTTGATTTTGTGATTTTATTCATGAAAAAAGACACCTAATAGTCAGTGCAGAAGAGGTATATTTCACCCAACATGTACTTTGGTAGATCATCTAAAATTCAACAGTACAAATCTAAATCTTCACATGTCAGCCATCAATGAAGGTGAAGTATTTCGAAAAGTTTTATGTAGGAAACAAATAGATATGTATAAATTAATCATATGTTGATGTACAACAAAATGTGTATATATGCTGTTAAAGTACGTCCTATTGGCCTGTGGCCTTTGATTTGAAAATGAATGAATAAAATATAGAAAAATAGATATTCGGATATGATAATAAATTGGTGGATAGATATGGTTCGTTTCGTTATTTATTTTAAAATGGAATGTACGCCTGTAACACCGGCCATTATGTTACAAATCGCCTTATTTTAAGGAGACTATCAACTGGCAGCAGATGTCATGGAATACCTGACTAGACCTTATTCCAGACAGCGTTCCCAGCACTAAGACGACCATAACCAAAATACTTTAACATGGGTTTATGACATGGAAGCACAATGATCGTTCTGGGAAAGGGAGCCGGGTGAATCTATACGAACACATTGACTGAACATGTGTTTGGTGTAATCCAGACGAGACGCATGATCTATACCGGATGTCACAGAGGAAGAATTCTCTGTACGACAGCTTGGCATGAGTGAATGAATGAGTGAGTTAATTATTAAAGGGCAATCTCAGGGTGGACGTCATTTCAGGGACACATCCACCAGTTCCACCAATATCCCTGTGACCTATTCTGTGAAGTAATATAAAGTAATTAGAAAGAAAGTAATTAGAAAGGCTTGAAAGAAAGATATTATTGAGATCATGTTAGCAAGCTAATCCTCATTCGTTTGATTATTTTGTTTCGGATGTATGTCAAGTGTCACGTCTCCAGCACCAGTTATCAAGCTTCTTTTTTTGTGTGTGTTGTTTAAAGCTGCACTCTGCAATATTCCAGATAAACACCTGCAGTCTATAACTATTCGTGTCAAATCCATGGACTGACAACGATCTACGTGATTAGGATACAATGACATGCGTCAACCAGCAAGCACGTCTCCCAGTCCGTCAGTCACACATTCAGACAAGAGATGAACGCTGAAGATTAATTCTTCACGTGGTCATGTGACATGGCAGGAAAACATGCGTTAAGGAACATGGCTCCAGTGATATATGTACCATTTCATCATATCGTTACACGTGTTATTTTATATGAATAAAGAGTGTGTGGCCTGTCTATAACATAACTGAACCATAAGTCGTGTGTATTTGTTGAGAATGTGCTGTAAAGCTGATGTCAGCATCATCAAGTTGACATCCTTTAATTCTGGCCCTCATGGGTAACACTTCCAAAGGCTTGTTAACGTGTGCCGTTCAGATTGATATGCAATGATCGAGGGAAAAACAACGCGCTTTTGAGCAACTGAGCTGGATATTAACATACAAATATTACTATGTATATATGTATGTGTGTGTGTGTGTGTGTGTGTGTGTGTGTGTTTGGAATGCCCAATGGAATACAGGATAGGCATTGGTTGCATAATGTTCAACATATGCTTACGGAGTATATAAAAATCACATTGCATTATTATATTTATTCATGAAGCATTTTTGTTTATTACATAACGCGTGCAGTACTTATGAGACTATTCATCATCCTGTCTAAAAGACAAATGGAGGTGATCCATACCGATTTCAAGTCTTTAGAACTGTAATTACAGGTGATTTTAATATTGATTATCTTGGAAATCAGAGGGTAGTTGTCCTAGATATGGAGGACAGATATTGTCTAGGGCAAATCACACACAGGAAGCGCCTCATTTCATTTAACACATCGATTAATTAACTTGCACTACTAAAATAGAAATGACCCATGCCCACTATTCATGAAAAGAACGACCCGTAATGATTGACCTTGCTCAAGAAATATGAATGTTTTCTCCCTAGTTGACCTGAAAGGAATAAGGAATTCATACCTGCTACAAATATTGGCATAAATGAATTAACATTAACATGGTATATTACCAGTGTAATTCAATGTACATCCGTGAGGTTTGTTGCTAACAAGGATGTTATATTACAGGACCTAAAGTTAGACCACCGATGAGTCACACAAGTATTAGGGGCATGGTGGGCGAGCTGGCTAAGGCGCGAGGCTAATGATCCAGGAAGCCTGAGGTGTCGGGATCGAGCCCACCTGTGATCTGCTTAAAAAGTCAACTTTGTGTGCAGACTCTTATAGTGTTGTCACAACCTCTTGCCCAACCCGTGGCACTCGTCATAAACACATGCAGTGGCTAGTCATTTGTTCACCTGAAACAATCTGGAACGTATAGTACAAGTCAGAAGTGGATTACATTGGTAAAAATCTACATCAAAACGTCGCTCTATGCAATAAACAAGAAGTTGTCATCCATAAAGTCGTATACGTTCATTCAAATTGAGGTATTTGTCAGTTATATTTATCATTTCTCAACTGTCTTGTGACAGTGACTTCTTCCAAATATCATCGTGTCGTTTCTTTTTCCCATGAGTGTATGACGCTTGACCTAAAACAGTCTATATATGAGTGTATGACGCTTGACCTAAAACAGTGTATATATGAGTGTATGACGCTTGACCTAAAACAGTGTATATATGAGAGTATGACGCTTGACCTAAAACAGTGTATATATGAGTGTATGACGCTTGACCTAAAACAGTGTATATATGAGTGTATGACGCTTGACCTAAAACAGTGTATATATGAGTGTATGACGCTTGACCTAAAACGGTGTATATATGAGTGTATGACGCTTAACCTAAAACTGTGTATATATGAATGTATGACGCTTGACCTAAAACAGTGTATATATGAGTGTATGACGCTTGACCTAAAACAGTGTATATATGAGTGTATGACGCTTGACCTAAAACAGTGTATATATGAGTGTATGACGCTTGACCTAAAACAGTGTATATATGAGTGTATGACGCTTGACCTAAAACAGTGTATATATTATTTATGTTTCATGTACTTGCTTACAGCTGCATTAATCATGGGATGATTGTACACAACAGGAAATATTCCTAGAGACCCTTCATCTTAATGATTTTAGATCAATATGCTTGCTGATCAGTTCGCCTAAGTATGCTATGTCCGATCCGTCCTTGCGATACCTCACATTGGTACAATGTGTGAAGCCCATTTCTTTTGTCCTTCCGCAATGATATTGCTGGAATATAGCGTAAAACCGCTACTCACTGACTAATCTATTCTTGAGTCGTCGTGTCTGTGTACTTGTCTTTGTTTTTTTATGATTTATGAGTCTTAGTGGGCAGTTGTTGTTGTCTATTGTGATCTATGAATCTTCTAGAGAGTTCAATATAATACTGGATTAGTCTCTAGCTCTTGACTCCCAAAGTTTTAAAACAAAGTGTATACCACGCCACGGACTACATTAGATAGCACTACTTTGTTGAAATCTAATTATTGCTAAGACTCAATGCGATGAACCTCTACTGATTTTTACACAGAAACAATGCAGTTACAACATTGTTTAACAATAAATTGCAATGCCATATAACAGTGTGTAATTGTTAACTTTGTGTGATTTTTGTTTTGTTTTTTGAGATACATTAACATTGCCCTGTCTCTGTGTATGGTGCTCAACACATCTTAGAGCATGATTTCCAGTACCCATAATGATCTCCATCCTTCCTTAATACTTCGCCACCTTGATCAAACTTACGGCGTTTCCTGAAACTGCATTTGATTGATTTTTTCTAAAAGCATGCAGACCCTTACAATATCTCACAACAAACCCAAAAGATCGTAAGGATGCTTGACGTGGGAAGTGAGAGATGGCCAATTATGACCATAGTAAGGTAATATGATCTATGAGACATTGCGTGTACTTGCCATTATCTTATGTTGGTGTTGGTTTGTAAAGTTCTTGACCTTCTTGGCCTTTAGGAACAGACGTGGCCGATAATAATGTGCGTTTGGAACTGTGCATGCTATCAAATAAGTGAGTGAGCGATTTAACTGGGTTTAACGCCTTAGTTGCTTGATCGTTGTTTTGTTTGTTGTTTAATGCCGCACTCAGCAATATTCCAGCTTTATGACGGCGGTCTGGAAATAATTGAGTCTTGACCAGACAATCCAGCGATGGACAACGTGAACATCGGTCTACGCAATTAGGATACGATGACATGCATCAACCAAGTCCGCCCGATTACGTTAGTCGCCTCTTACGACAAGCATGGGTTGCTGAAGACCAATTCTAACCCGGATCTTAACGGGCGTGCGGAGATTAGGAAATATACAGCAATGATACATAAATATAATTCAAAGAGAGGACTTTATTAAATCTCAAAATATTTCTCCGATACGTTTACTTTTAAACTGTAAAGAACCCGGGACCTAGGGCATGGGACAGTTCGCCGTCAGCCAGGGGTACTGCGGTCACGTCCCAGACTCCCTCCGCCGCCATCTTGTCTATCAAGGGAAGCAATCGGCCACGGTACTCGACAGCATTATCGATGTTCCTTTGTGGAACTGTGAAAACTATCCGCCCACCTGTGCTTGCCAATTAAAGGATAAACGTTATGAGTAGGTTAAATTTCACGAATTAGGGAGTTCTTAAAAAATTATAGATATATTTAAACAAAATAACCACCGAGTAAGCAATTGTACGTGATGACCTCAAATGACAGAAACATATACGATGGGAACGATTTAAAATGTTCAATAAGGATGTTCGAGAATAGTATTATAATTTGGTGTCCTCAAGAAACTATTAGCAATAGGTCTCTGAAACTAGTCAGGCAACTTGCAATATTTAGTTCGGTAGATCAAGTAGAAGTAGGTTTTGATAGCTAACCTGACATCCAGCACTGGTTTGTAACATGAAGGCGTCAGTCTCTTTAAGCACATCCCTAAACTATTCTTTGCATCATGTTCTAATATCATTAACACATTGCATTATTCATATAATATTTGTTCTAATTAATCTCATTCAAGGTAAACACTGTGTCTAAATTTGTTCAATGAGAAGCAGAACACAGGAGGACGTGAGCCTTTTAAACTAGTCTCTGAACTAGTCCTGAAGCACATTACTTTCCCTACTGCCTAGACCTTCTTTTAATGCTAAGCCCTAAATGAAGCAAGTCGACAGTTTCAGGTTCTGAATCTCCCATCTCATCGGGTCTCCTTATCAATTTAAATAGGATTATTTGTTACTGTAAAACTTTTATATATTCATAGACTAAGCGTTAATCTACTTTTTAACGTACATGGTTTATATCGTGTGCCTTCCAAATGCAACAATCACCATTGGGTACTCTAAATAATCGTCAACATCCTGAGGACAACAAAGGGACAATTTGGATCAACTAAGGTGTACAAAAGGTCATCAATGGTCATCAAGCGCTAATCAACACGTGATGAAATAATCTGAATGTTCTCACCAGGCTTAACGATTCTGATCATCTGGGGGAAGGCATTACATGGTACCAAACCCTCGTTGAAGGCTGCCGTAGCCGTTATGCAGTCGTAGAAATCTGAAAGGTCACGAGTCAATGTGACAAGTATATTTACAACTAGAGGTCTTGTAGCCAGGTGGGCGAGCGAGTGATATCAGTGTAATGTTGAACAGTATTTCTGTTATGTTGAAGGAAAGTGAAAATGACACAGTTCAACGAATTCTTCCTCTGTTTACAACAAACAAGGGTAGGATTATGGCCGTCCAAGGACCATAATCAGGGCACAAATGTTGGATTCGAACCCTAAGACGAATCGTAGATACTCTGATGACTGTGCCCCTTGTACCCAAGCTTTAAACAACATCACGTGCATCACATTTGACTTTTTTGGATAGTTCATTACCGTGCCATTTCAACAGCTTCGGAAGTAGTGGACTTTATCGTGCGTACTTTTTCGGATTTCACTTTGCCAGCTGATCTTAGATTGGCTAAAAGGTTAATCAATTTAGTCAACACCCTATCACAGGACAACGGGCGCTCGTTTACCAAGTAATCTGCACCAGAGTGTGGAAGCCACGGGGCTGAGTGGGTTAGGCGACTGACTTTGTGTTCTGGCGATTAGGTGCCTGACTCGGAGGATGTGGGTTCGAATCCAGGATGGGACTCAACCCAACAAAAGTACTAGAATTTGTACTTTACTGAGAAAGTGTAATCCCAAATATATCATAGTTACAAAGTGTCAATCCTTCTGCGCATGCGCAGTTGCCACCTTGATCAAACTTACGGCGTTTCCTGAAACTGCATTTGATTGATTCTTTCTAAAAGCATGCAGACCCTTACAATATCTCACAACTAACCCACGGGATCGTAAGGATGCTTGACTTGGGAAGTGAGAGATGGCCAATTATGACCGTAGTAAGGTGCGTTCGGAAAACTGCAGTCTTGCCATCAATCCTGACCACCTGACTGAGATAGTTGCCTCAGTTCCTCCCATCCGAAATCTCTTTATCTAGGTGTATGTATTCATATATACAACATTTCTGTTTGTATTCAGTTTTGGTAATAGCTATATTATTTGAGTAATGCAATTAACTATATTACTGTCTGAAAATACAAATACTGCTGAAAGTAGTGGTGATGGTCTTTAAACAATTGGCATGAAGAAAGTGATCAGTTAGATCCCTCACTAAGCTGGCGATGTCAGGTTCAATTTGATCAGGGACGGTGAGGTAGCCTAGTGGTTAAAGCGTTGGCTCGTCACGCCAAAAACCCGGGTTCGAATCCCCACATGGGTACAATGTGTGAAGCCCATTTCTGGTGTCCCCCGCCGTGATGTTACTGGAATATTGCTAAAAGCGGCTTAAAACCAAACTCAGTAAGTCAGTTTGATCATTAAATAACACTGTAATCTCAGTGAACAACTTATTGACTCTTTTCCCTTCTGGTACCTGTTTCGATTTCCTCGACCCTGTTTTTGTCCATGAATGCACAGATCAGGCGACGGTAGACGTTTCTGGTTTTTGCCACATCCAACATCTTCTGAGCTGGATCCAGGGCATCGACGTAGGAAAATCCTACCTCCTTCAGCTGAAACAGAGGTAGATAAGGGTCAACGAAATAAATTAAAGAACTTTATACCAATTGAACAATTGACTAGCCTTTGGATTTGTTTATGAAGGGTGCCACCAGTGGGAAAGATACGCTCAGCTTTTCGCAAACACGTGGCACCGTGCCATTTCCACTGAGAGTGAAATGTTGATGATGAAACGACAGTGACTGGGGTATGATCTATACATATTGCTAAATATGGTTAATTTAATATGCAATAAATTGATTAATGTTGTTAACATTTTCTGTGTGTCAGTGTAATAGAATGCCTCGACGCGCGGGCCGATGTAACATGACGTCACGCCAAAATTGTTCACCAGTCTAATTAAGGACATGCCCCAAACTAATGTGGCCGTTCAGTTCCATGTATTGTGTGTTCAGTTCCATGTATTGTGTGTTCTTTTCCATGTATTGTGTGTTCAGTTCCATGTATTGTGTGTTCAGTTTCATGTATTGTGTGTTCAGTTCCATGTATTGTGTGTTCAGTTCCATGTATTGTGTGTTCAGTTCTATGTATTGTGTGTTCAGTTTCGGGACAGTAGCGAGATGCTGTTCGGGTCTCGAAACTGCTTAGATAAAAAGGGGGTATCTCTTTATTATAATATACTGAGAGAAACAAAAAAAATATCACAGGACAATTCAAGCGTTCCTTTAATATTTCCCAGTTTTCATCACCAGCTTTGAATAGCGCTGTGGTGATGAAAACTGGAAAATAATTAAGGAACGCTTGAATTGTCCTGTGATCCTTTATTTGTTTATAACGGTGTTAGCATCTACACCGAAACGTTGCATATATTGTAAGAAAGAAGTTGTATATCCACTTCTAAATGCAACACCAACTTCTAAATGACACCCAGGATGCATGACCAACGTATTCCTTCGCTATAAGTGATAGTGTCAACGAAATTTTAAAAAACCCGATCTTGGATTTGTCCATTGTAACAATGTATATGGCGTGTCGCCCAGTAGCGGAGGTGTTTACTACGCAGGCCTTGCCTGGGTCAGTGAAGCGCCAGAGCAGCATACCCAGGGAACCAGGCTATAGGTATGGTTTCCAAAACAATAACCCTTCTTGGCTGGATCGGGGCGGTGGGGTAGCCTGGTGGTTAAAGCGTTCGCTCGTCAGACCCGGGTTCGATTCCCCCCAAGGGTACAATGTGTGAAGCCCATTTCTGGTGTCCATCGCAGTGATTTATATGTAATATTGCTAACAGCGGCATTAAACCATACTCATTCACTCACTCTCGGGCTGATTAATTATGTTAACTTGACATTTTTAACACATGACTCCTTGTTATTAAACCACTTAGCAGATTGGTGAAAATGGTTTCCGCTGGTACCTGGTATTCTATACTTGCATGTATAGGAGCTCGTCTTTGGCATTCTTTGAAATTATTATTGTAAACGGACACTGTATCAGGAAGTATCATGGTATCCTGAAGGGGAAGAGAAAACTATTCCTCCCCCTTCCCACCGTGTCTGACTGGCAGTGTATGACTGGCAGTGTCTGACTGGCAGTGTATGACTGGTTTAGCTAAAGACGTTTCTACGTCGGCGACTGAAAAACAACAAAACCACACTTGCCTATATTAAAAAAATCACATAATATATATAGCTTGTGATTAAAGAGTTGGCGAGAGGGCGACAAGAGTACATGCAATTGTTTACCGTCCACCACAACCCCTGCCATTGAGAGTACTTACTGAAAATTCCAATGTGCCTTCGCTGTAGACTCTTTCTTTGTTTAAGCGAAATAATTGCAGTGATTTCATTCGCTGTCACAATTTCATATATTGTCTAACATTTAAGAGTGCTGACACACCCAAGGTCACCATTTCGTGCGATGACAATCGGACATAATATTTTGACGATGACCCTTCAGAAACATAGGCGAAGCTACATCAACTATTGTATTGTTTCATCAGCTGTTCAGCTAAATTGATGTAATACAGTTTGACCATCAAGTACCTTAATGCCGACGAATCCTGTTCCTGCCCCCAACGTCCAGAACTTTCACACTAGACCTGTCACTCTCCGGGTAAGTCTTGGCCAAGAAGTCGCCGACAACTTCATGAGCACGTAGCCCCTTAGCCAGTACTTCCTGGAAATTATGAATAGAGACGAATTCTAAAGACGACGAATGTTGTGATCTTCTCAATTTGGCTTGCGAAGCGGTTTGGTTGTTTGTCAGAAATACTAGTATGGACTACAGGCCCTCGTGTCTTTGCGAGGATTAAAGATTTAAAAAAATTGTTTTTGAGATGACCCACGACTCGAAATGCTTCACAGTACAATTCGTCATAATGTATTGTACTGCGAAGCATTTCGAGTTGGGGGTCATCTCAAAGTTTTATATATATTTTATAAATCTTTAATCCTCGCAAAGAAACGAGGACTTGTGCTCTGGACCAGTCAATCCAGTGATCAGCACCGATTTAAACATATAGGATAAAAAAGAGAAGCATCAATAAAATCAGCCAATCTGACCACCTGATCCCGTCAGTAGCCTGTTACGACAAGCTTGGGTTGCAGAAAACCAATTCTATACCGGATATTCACGAGTGGTTGTGAAGGAACACTGTATAATTGCTTTTCGGGTAGATGTAATTTCGACTATATCGTACCTCGTCATAGTCATCGGCGAAGTCGTCAAACATTTCCGCTATCTGCTGCGGCGTCATGTCCGGTCGCAGCTTAGCATTGAACCTAGCTTCCTTGTGTCGTTGCGACATTGTGTGGTGTGGGTCAAGGTCGTGTAGAACAATCAGGTAGGTGTTGAAGTATCTGCAATACAAGTATATACTTCATTCTCTGACATTAGGGGAAGAATATTAGTCTTAACAAGCTGGAATCGTTGAACCTGTTTGCAAGTACACTTAATGATCTGTTTCAGTGAAGCAAATAATGGCAACCCTGGCACTATTCTTAACAAACTTTATTCAGAACACACGACACTATTCCAAAAACACGACTTTGTTTACAAAACATGACACCTAAAACTATTCACCACACACTGGCTTATTCACAACACGACTCTATCTACCATACATGACACTATTCACAAGAAATGATACTGTTCACAACACGACTCTGTTTACCATATGTTTACCATACCTGAAACAATTCACAACACATGAGCCTATTCACAACACGACTCTATTAACGACTGACAAAATATGACGCAATTGACAACTACTGACAGTATTTACAATATGTGACTATATTCACAGCACATGGTACTATTCACAACTAACGACAGTATTTACACTATATGACCATATTCACAACACATGACACTATTCACAACTAACGACAGTATTTACAATATGTGACTATATTCACAACACATGACACTATTCACAACTACTGACAGTATTTACAATATGTGACTATATTCACAGCACATGGTACTATTCACAACTAACGACAGTATTTACACTATATGACCATATTCACAACACATGACACTATTCACAACTAACGACAGTATTTACAATATGTGACTATATTCACAACACACAATACGATAATAACGAACGAGAGAGAGTTGAGCTGATACCTTCTTTAAACACGATTGCACTCTAACCATAATGTTTCCACTTGTATGTGTATTTACTAAATAATATCACTGATAATGATTCGAAACTCTAGACATGTGATAGAAGGGGTCAGCGTGACCTGTCTGACCTGCTTCACATCGACTGTTATCTGAGTCACCAAACTCAGCGTTTCTCGCCATCTTCACACTTCACACAGAACTATTTATATTTAGTCACTTCTACTAAGATGTTCCCTGTTCACAGTCTATCCATTACATTTCATGTTAGCCGAACATAATGCTAACACACAAATCCATTTCCAAGCACGTGTGGTTAAGTGCAAGGCTTTGGGTTCGAAACCCAAATTACGCGCGGTTTCGATCTGTCTTTTAAAGACCTGGGTGCCGTTGTACAAAGCCATTTTAGCGCTAAGGTGACCGTAGCTCCCATATTTTAACACTGACTTAAGGTAGCCTTAGCGCTAAGGTTGTTTTGAACAACAGCACCCAGGGCATAGATTTTCGAAGCTCTCTTAGCGCTAAGATAGTCGTAAGTTAATGTTAATGTATGGCACTTACGACTATCATGGCCGTTAGAGAGCTTCGAAAATCGAGGATCAGAACAGTAATTCATTAACACAAGTGTACATAAAAGATTATTTACATATCTCTACCGACCGTGAATTTACCAAATATATTTGCACTTATAAAATCCTTCTCTCATTGTATCACATTAAATGTGATTAAATTTCCTCTATAGTTACTAACGCGGCATGAGCTATATGGCATGGAGGAATTAATGCATGTAAACATATCAATGACGAACATCACGCTAACACACAAACAGATATAACTTCATTGGTTACTATATACTTTACGACTGCTTTATGGCTAGGTAGATTCAATAAACGTACTGTATCAGCACAAACCACACTCACCTCCGTCTTCGCCCGTATCTACTCCCCAAAGGAAGCTGTTAGTGCCCTTGTACTGTGTTATCAGAACCAGGGTCAGTGGGACAGCGTGTCTCCTTGTCTATGTCTTCTTAAGCGTGTTTATTTGTTTGTGGTTTAACGCCGCCATCTTCTAGCTATATAGCGGTGGTCTGTAAATAATCGAGTCTGACAAAAACCAGGAAAATCATAAGCATCGATCTTCGCAATTAGAACCGATGACATGTGTCAACCAGGTCAGCGAGCCTGTTCACCTGATCCCGTTAGTCGCCTCTAACGATAAGCATGGGTTGCTGAAGACCAGTTTCTAACCCGGTCCAATGCTGAAGTACAGGCTGGTCCAGAAAGGTTTATTGAAGAAACGTCACTGTAATCAATATGTACTGGCTGGATACGTTACATATACCAGCTGTATACTTAATGCAATATAATTACTTATATACTACATATTGTACACTCCATGGCAAACACCAAGGGAATTAATGATTTGAAAGTAGCTGTCACAGAGGTTTACATTTACCATACTGAACAATATTGCATCTGGACGCAAATTGTATTCACGAAGACACTTCACTCCATGCTGGAACACCATGTGATGCACGAGTGGATATCACAAATGCGACTGAGTTGAACACAAAATTTAATATCTCCAAACAAAATCATCTCGCTGAACAGTCAAAATGGCAATTAATGATCTGGATTCGACACGTTATTACTGAAAGCTAACCGGCATATCACACAAATTTCTCGCCTGGGGTAGAGGTACCGCAAAAAGGGTGGGGTTGCAGGGAGACGTGGATGTGGCACAGGGACCGCGAAACTGTCGAAACACAATATCGGCTTTCATACGATAAAACCACAGTTCTCCATTGTCGATAACGCCAATTTCGATGCTGAGTTGCCGATTGCAGTCGGTCTTGGCGGTGAGGAGCGGTGAGGACAGGACTACGATATGGTCTGTGACAGCAGAGGTTTCTTCCGCGCAAACGTCGACGCAGTGTATCGGCACTGATGGGTCTGTTGTGAGTCACAATAGTATGGCGTGCTGTTTCCGTCGCTCTAGGGAAGCGATCCTGCAGATGGTGGCGCACAATCTGTCGTTCTTGACGTTGCGATGTTACTCAAGGTCGCCCACTGCGTGGACGGTCTTGGATGCTGTTAGTGACCTGATACCACTCCTGCAGTCGGCAGATTGTCCTAACATGAACATTTAAATGATTGGCTACCCTCCTTGCAGTCTGGCCAATTTGCAATCGTCCCAAGACTTGCTTCCTCTGATGTCTCGTACGTCGTGGCATGGTGATTTTTCATCAGAGAACACACTGATGTTGGTAATTACTGTCAATTTCTATTGAAAAGCATGCTAACAAAACCGCACAACCATAATAGAAGAATCACCACCTTGCAAGAACAAACTTTTTCCTAAATGTCTTTGGTTTTGAAAATCGTACAAGACGTTTCTTTGTGGTTTCAGTGAATGACGCTTGACCTAAAACAGTGACTTCTTCCAAATATCATATATGAGTGTATGACGCTTGACCTAAAACAGTGTATATATGAGTGTATGACGCTTAACCTAAAACAGTGTATATATGAGTGTATGACGCTTGACCTAAAACAGTGTATATATGAGTGTATGACGTTTGACCTAAAACAGTGTATATATGAGTGTATGACGCTTGACCTAAAACAGTGTATATATTATTTATGTTGCATGTACTCGATTACAGCTGCATTAATCACGGCATGGTTTGACACAACAGGAAATATTCCTAGAGACCCCTCATCTTAATGATTTGAGATCAATATTTCTGGTGGTCAGTTCGCCTGAGTATGCAATTAGCTATGTCTAATCCGTCCTTGCGATTCCTCACATGGGTACAACGTGTGAAGCCCATTTCTTTTGTCCTTCCGCAATGACATTGCTGGAATATTGCTAAAATGGTTGTAAAACCATCCTCACTCACTGTAATCTGTTCTTTGAGTTTTCGTGACTGTGTACTTGTCCTTTGTTTTTGTGATTTTCTTAGTGGACAGTTGTTGTTGTCTATTGTGATCTATGAATCTTCTAGAGAGTTCGATATAATATTGGATTAGTCTCTTGACTCCCAAAGCTTTAAAACAAAGCATACACCACGTCACGGATTACATTAGATAGCACTACTTTGTTGAAATTGAATTATTGTTAAAACACAGTGATGAAACAATATTGTTCAGCAATAGTGAGGGAGTGTGTTTAGGTTTACGCCGCTTTTAGCAATATTCCAGAAATGGGCTTCACACATTGCACCCATGTGGGGAATTAAACCTGGGTCTTCAGTGCGACGAGTGAACCACTTAACCACTAGGCTACCCCAGCGCCGCTGGTTAACGGTAACCCGTGAAGGTCCCGGTTAGAATGTACATTCAGTAACTCCTGCTTGTCGTAAGAGGCGACTAACGGGATGGGGTGGTCAGGCTCGCTGACTTGGTTGACATGTCATCGGTTCCCAATTGCGCAGATTGATGCTCATGTTGTTGATCACTGGATTGTCTGGTCCAGACTCGATTATTTACAGACCGCTGCCATATAGCTGGAATATAGCTGAGTGCGGCGTAAACCTAAACTCACTCACTCACAGTTTAACAGTAAATTACGATGCCATATGACAGTGTGTAACCGTTTTGGATTCGATGACATGTGTCAACCAAATCAGCGAGCCTAACCACCCGATCCCGTTAGTCGTCCCTTATGACAAGCAAGGGCTGCTGAAAATCAATTCCAACCCGGAACTTCACGGCTCCGTCTTAGATGTGTGGTGATTAGGAAATATTTAGAGAGTAACCAACGAGGTACGAGTGACTATGGGAAATATGCCCGAATTGAAATAATGTTCACAGTGCCAAACCTTGGCTACTCACGGGACATTATTTCAACGAGGGCATATTTCCCGTAATCACTCGTACCGAATTAGTTATTCTATTTATTACCCATAATGTAATTTAAAAAGAACCACGAAATAAAAAAACACACCAGGAGACAGGACTTGTGATCTCAAACAGCTGATTCGTATTCATGCGCGTATTAAACCTAACTTCTATAGCCGTAATAACATAACTACACTATGGAAAATAGAACCTCGTAAAATCGCTTTATAATGCAACAAAAATATTGTTTATGGAATAATTTCTTAACATTTGTTAATATGATAAAAATGATCATTCAAATGCGATATCACTGAACTTAATAACAGCTAAAACGTAATTTGATCAAGTCATTGCGCCGGAACGTTCATTCACAACTGACGTGTGTCTAGTGACGGGTGACGGTGTAGTTTTGAAACACTCTTTGGCAAAAACCTGTCAGTTTTTGAGAAGTCAACGGTTAGAAGTTGGGAAATCTAAAAGACAACCACCCCACGAATACATCTTGAAAAAGTTGTCTGTCAAGAAACTCAACAAGTTTGAAATTAAACAACATCTTGTTCGGAAGGCGTGTTACAGTCACGTCATTGGTCCCAGTAGAGTACAGCAGTTCCAAGAAGGATAACTCTAGTCGGAATCCTCGTCAATGGGAAGAATACGCCTATTTGGAGCAGATGGTCGACTGACAGTCATTCGAGATGTTGAAGTGGAATACACCACAATAAATTGGACCTGAGAATAGTGTATGTACAGAATGAAGAACCTGCCGGGATTTTGTTTGACGTTCTACATATTTTCTGAATCTTTCCTTATTGTTACATTTCCCCTCAAAGCATACGCCTGTGAGGGGTATCGGTTCGGAGGCCGAAAAAGACGTTACAAAAGTGTTACAAAAGACTATCCGGAGTACCAGTGCCAAGCTGTCCACATTCTCGGAGTGTTTTCAGTTCAGTGCCCACATTCATGGCGTTTTAAGTGACGTTCAATACTCCCCTTGATCCCTCTCAAAGTAGATGGTTCATACTAACCCGTCTGATCTCCTATGAGAAATGAGAAACTTGCACAAAATTGTATTTAATTCAGTTGGGGGATATCTTGAAGCTGTCCACTGTCATGCAAACTTTCCCGTAGGAATTTGTTTACCAAGTTAATGTCGAGCCGAGTTTTGTTCATAGTGTTTTCATTTTCATTGTTCGACAGAAATGTGTCAATCTCTGCATCGGATACTGGTACAAACCATCCGGATTGATTAGGAATGCATGGATAAAAAAGTCACCTTGAAGAAGATCATTTAGCACTGATTCGGGTAAAAGAGAAGCTGTTATCTGGTTCGATGGTGTGGACGCCGTGACAGACTCACTTGTCACACTTTCAGGTAACACCTTTAGTCGGTATTTTGCTGCTTCTATTTCCCCAAATTCAGTTTTAACAACAAACAGATTGTAGGAATTCAAGAGCTGTAAGATTCTTATCACTCTTCCTATTAGGTCACCGTCAACTTTAACTAGGTCATTGACCTTGATCGGGATTAGCCTAATGGCGGCCATGTTTGTTTACAGACAATGCAAACGATTGTTGTTGTTTTTTTATGGTTATTTATTTTAAAAAGGCTACTATTTATAACGGAATTTTATTGCAAAGTAAATATGTCTAATAAAAGGAGAATTCACATTCTTTAACCTTCATGTTTTAAAGTTTAAATCTCGGAATGTGTGAGTAAAGCACGTACTAATGAAACGGGAAAAGTTGTCAATGAACTTGGATCATGAAAAGCAGTTCCGTCAACCAATCATATTTCTTCTCTGCTTAGCTGACCAATCAACATTGAGAATCATTGAAAAGCACATGTGCGATTATCACAAAAATAATCAATATAATTCAAAGAGAGAACTTTATTAAATCTCAAAATATTTCTCAGACACGTTTACTTTTAAACTGTAAAGAAACCCGGGACCTAGAGAATGGGCCAGTTGGCCGTCAGCCAGGGGTACTGCGGTCACCTCCCAGACCCCCTCCGCCGCCATCTTGTCTATCAAGGGAATTAACCGGCCACGATACTCGACAGCATTATCGATGTTCTTTTGTGGAACTGTGAAAACTATCCGTCCACCTGATAAACAAAACACTGAACTCAATGTTTGCTATTTAAATGATTAACGTTATGAGTAGGTTAAATTTCATGAAGTAGAAGTTCTTAAATATTAGATATACTCGTTAGGATGAGAAAGCCACAATAACTCGGTGCGCCTAGTGGCAGCAAGAGTTGTATACTCCCCAGGGAGTTGAGATTGATAATACGATGTGCCGTTGAGATTGTCATCCAATGATCGAGGGAAAAACTACCAGCGCCTTGAGCATGCACTAGTTGCTTGGATATGTGCGCTATATAAATATCCTATAATAGTAATAATAATAATACGAATCCTTTGCCTGGTTGAAGTCGGCTGGTCTTAAATGTGAAACTGAGGGCTTCCTTTTTGCTGCTCAGGACCAGTCACTTCCCACTCGCAATCGCCTAAATGTGATTCTTAAAGAAAATATTAACATGAAATGTCGACTATGTAATGAATTTACAGAGACTGTCCAACACCTTGACAGTGGATGTCCTTCCTTGGCACAAACAGCATATCTTAAACGGCATGATGGCATGGCTCGTTGCTTTTACTACCATCTCCGCCATGTCTGTGGCTTTGACTCCGAGGTCCACCCATGGTATGACCCTGAACACCTCCAGGGTGTCATGGAAAACGACAGCTTTAAACTTCTGTCGAATAGGCCACTATACAGCCTGAGAAGAATTCCAGCCAATAAACATGATCTTGTCCTCTTTGATAAAGCCAATGAATTTATTTATATCATTGAATTTTCTGTCCCTTTTAAAACCAATGTGATTGGCAAGATTAAGGAAAAGCATGATAAATATGCGGACCACGCCTTTGAAATGTCTCGCTTGCATCCCAAGTACACTGTCGTCAGACTCCCCATTGTTCTAGGTGCCCTTGGTTTGGTACCTCCTGATCTCTTGGCGCAGATCAGGAGAGTGCCCGGGTTCTCCACCGGGAGCACAGCCCTTCTGACACTCTGGGTAATGCAGAAGGCTGCAGTGTTGGGGAGCCCTCATAGTCTCCGGAAAGTTCTTGGTGGGTTCGACTAGGCAGTGTTTCCTGGGATAAGTCCCATTCGCTGTCTGGCCTGCGTGTAGAGGGGGCAAGGACCCTGAGCTGATGATGAGCTTTACCAGCCTGACTGTGCCAGGATCACCCGAACCCTCTCTGCTGCATTTTCATCTTAATCTGTAAAGAATCATGATAATAATAGATATATTTAAACAAAATAACCACCGAGTATGCATTTGTACGTGATGACCTCAAACGATAGAAACATGTTCGATGAAAACGATTTAGACTGTTCAATAAGGATGTTCGAGAATAATATTATAATTGGGTGTCCTCAAGAAACTATTAGCAATAGGTCTCTGAAACTAGTCAGGCAACTTGCAATAGTTCTGTAGATGATGTAGCAGTAGGTTTTGATAGATAACCTGACATCCAGCACTGGTTTGTTACATGAAGGCGTCAGTCTCTTTAAGCACATCCCTAAACTACTCTTTGCATCATGTTCTAATATCATTAACACATTGCATATTTTATGATATCTGTATTAATTAATCTCATTCAAGGTAAACTGTGTCTACATTTGTTCAAACAGAGGCAGAACAAAAGAGGGCGTAAACCTTTTAACCTTGTCTGTCTTATTGTCCCTGAACCACATTATAGACTTCCCTGCAATGCTAAAGCTCTAAATGAAGCAAGTCTAGATTTCCCCAGGTTCTGAATCACCTTTCTCACTGGGGCTTCTTATCAATTAAAATGGGGTTATTTCTTACTGTAAAACTTACTCTGCCTTTTAACGTACATGGTTTATATCGTGTGCCTTCCAAATGCAACAGTCACCATTGGGCACTGTAAATAATCGTCAACATCCTGAGGTCAACACGGGGACAGTTTGGATCAACGAAGGTTAACAAAAGGTCATCAACGGTCATCAAGCGCTAATCAACACGTGGTCAAATAATTTGAATGTTCTCACCAGGCTTAACGATTCTGATCATCTGGGGGAAGGCATTACATGGTACCAAACCTTCGTTGAAGGCTGCCGTAGCCGTTATGCAGTCGTAGAAATCTGGAAGAAAGGTATATCGATCACGAGTCAATGTGACAAGTCTATTTACAACTAGATATCAGTCCCCCAAAGAAATTCCGATGTTTGGATGAACAAGTTATTTACTCCTTTCCCTTCAGGTACCTGTTTCGATTTCCTCCACCCTGTTTTTGTCCATAAATGCACAGAGCAGGCGACGGTAGACGTTTTTGGTTTTTGCTATATCCAACATTTTCTGAGCTGGATCCAGGGCATCGATGTAGGAAAATCCTAGCTCCTTCAGCTGAAACAGAGGTAGATAAGGGTCAACGAAATAAATCAAAGAACGTTGCCTGGGTCAGTGAAGCGCCAGCGCAGCATACACAGGGAACCAGGTTATAGGTATGGTTTCTAACTCTATGACCATTCTCGGTCGGATAGGGGCGATGGGGTAGCCCAGTGGTTAAAGAGTTCGCTCGTCACGCCGAAGACCACGTTCGATTCCCCACATCGGTACCAGTGTGAAGCCTATTTCTGGTGTCCCTCGTCGTAGTTTTTGCTGTAATATTGCTAAACGCTGCATTAAACCATACACATTCACTCACTCTCGGGCGGATTAATTAGTTAACTTTGCATCTTTAACACACGACTCCTTATTATTAAACCATTCAGCAGATTGATTCCTGGTATTCTATACTTGCATGTATATGAGTTTTCTTTGGCACTCTTTGAAATTATTATTGTAAACGGACACTGTATCAGGAAGTATAATGATATCCTGAAAGGAAAGAGAAACATATTCCTCCTCCTTTCCACCGTGTCTGACTGGCAGTGTATGACTGGCAGTGTCTGACTGGCAGTGTATGACTGGTTTATCTAAAGACGTTTCTATCTCGGCGACTGAATAACAACAAAACAACACGTGTCTATATTCAAACTATCGCATAATACATATAGCTTTTGATTAAAGAGTTGACGAGAGGGCGACGAGAGTACCTACAATTGTCCTCCGTCCACTACAATCTACCAGCCTTTGTGGAGTACTTACTTACGTTCCAATCTCCCCTTTGTTGTAGACTCTTTCTTTGTTAAGCGAAAGCGAAAGTGATTCCATTCGCTGTCACCATTTCATATATTTTCTAATATTTAAGAGCGCTGACAAACTTTAGGTCACCGGTTCGTTTGGTCACAATGAGGCATAATATTCTGACAATGCCTCTTCAGAAACATGGACGAAGCTACATCAACTATTGTATTGTTTCATCAGCCGTTCAGCTAAACTGATGTACCAGTTTGACCATTGAGTACCTTAATGCCGACGAATCCTGTTCCTGCCCCAACGTCCAGAACTTTCACACTGGACCGGTCACTCTCCGGGTACGTCTTGGCCATGAAGTCGCCGACAACTTCATGAGCACGTAGCCCCTTAGCCACTACTTCCTGGAAATTAGGAATAAAGACGCATTCTAAAGACGACGAATGTTGTGATAATCTCAATTTGGCTCGCGAAGCCGTTTGGTTGTTTGTCCAGACAATCCAGTGATCAGCACCGACTTTAACAAATAGGATACGAAGAAAAACATCGATCAGCCAATCTGACCACCTTATCAAAATGGTAGTCTGTTACGACAAGTATGGGTTGCAGAAGACCACTTCAATACCGGAAGGAACACTGTGTTATAATGCATTTCTGGTAGATGTTATTTCGACTACATCCTACCTCGTCATAGTCATCGGCGAAGTCGTCAAACATTTCGGCTATCTGTTGCGGTGTCATGTCAGGCCGCAGCTTAGGATTGAACCTAGCTTCCTTGTGTCGTTGCGACATTGCGTGGTAAGGGTCAAGGTCGTGTAGATAGGTGTTGAAGTATCTGCAATACAAGTACTTAATTCTCTGACATTAGGGGATGTATTTCTGGAAATATATTTAAATAGTCTTAACAAGTTGGAATCGTTCGAAAAGTTTGCAAGTCCACTTGATGATGTATTTCAGTGAAGCAAATAATGGCAACCCTGACACTATTCTTTCCAAACATTATTCACAATACGACATTACTCCAAAACACGACTTTGCTTACCACACATGACATCATTCAGAACAATTTACATTTTTCACACCGCGACTCTATTTACCATACCTGATACTATTCACAACACATGACACTATTCACACCACGACTCTATCTACACCATGACTCTATTTACCATAATTGACACTATTCATAACACATGACACTATCCACAACACGTCTCTATCCACAACACGCACTATCCACAACACGACCCTTTTCACATCACATGACACTATTCACAACACATGACACTATCCACAACACATGACACTATCCACAACACAAGCCAATATTCACATCCCACGGCACTCTTCACAACACACGACACTCTTCACAACAAATGATACTGTTCGCAACACATGGCACTAGTCACAACACATGCCAATATTCAGAACTCACGGCACTATTCACAACACATGACACTTTTCACAACACAACACTATTCACAACACGACTCTATTCACAACACGACCCTTTTAACATCACATGACACTATTCAGAACACGACCCTATTCACAACACATGACACTGTTCACAACACTTGACTCTATCCACAACACATGATACTATTCACAACACATGATACTATTCACAACACACGACACTATTCACAACACATGACACTATTCACAACACATGACACTATTCACAACACATGACGCTATTGACAACACGTGATACTATTCACAACACACGACACTGTTCACAACACATGACACTGTTCACAACACATGACACTATTCACAACACACGACACTATTCACTATTCACAACACACGACACAATTCACAACACATGACTCTAGTCACAACACAAGACACTGTTAACAACACATGACACTATTCACTATTCAAAACACATGACACTATTCACAACACATGACTCTATTCACAACACAAGACACTGTTCACAACACATGACACTATTCACAGCACGTGATACTATTCACAACACATGACGCTATTCACAACACACGACACTATTGACAACACGTGATACTATTCACAACACACGACACTGTTCACAACACATGACACTGTTCACAACACACGACACTATTCACTATTCACAACACATGACACTATCCACAACACATGATTCTATCCACAACACACGGCACTATTCGCAACACACGACACTATTCACAGCACGTGATACTATTCACAACACATGACGCTATTCACAACACACGACACTATTGACAACACGTGATACTATTCACAACACACGACACTGTTCACAACACATGACACTGTTCACAACACATGACACTATTCACAACACATGACACTATTCACTATTCACAACACACGACACTATTCACTATTCACAACACATGACACTATTCACAACACACGACACTATTCACAACACATGACTCTAGTCACAACACAAGACACTGTTAACAACACATGACACTATTCACTATTCACAACACATGACACTATTCACAACACATGACTCTATTCACAACACAAGACACTGTTCACAACACATGACACTATTCACTATTCACAACACACGACACTATTCACAACACATGATAGTATTCACAACACACGACACTATTCACAACACATGACACTATTCACAACACACGACACTATTCACAACACACGACTCTATCCACAACACATGATTCTATCGACAACACATGACACTGTTCACAACACACGGCACTATTCACAACACATGATATTATTCACAACACATGACACTGTTCACAACACATGACACTATTCACAACACATGACACTATTCACAGCACGGCACTGTTAACAAGACATGACACTATTCACAACATGACACTGTTCACAACCTATGACACTATTCACAACACACGACACTATTCACAACACACGACACTATTCACAACACACGACACTGTTCACAACACACGACTCTATCCACAACACATGATAATATTCACAACACATGACATTATTCACATCACATGATAATATTCACAACACACGACTCTATCCACAACACATGACACTATTCACAACACAAGACACTATTCAGAACACAACTCTATTCACAACACATGACACTATTCACAACACACGACTCTATCCACAACACATGATACTATTCACAACACATGACACTATTCAGAACACATGATACTATCCACAACACACGACTCTATCCACAACACATGATACTATCCACAACACACGACTCTATCCACAACACATGATACTATTCACAACACATGACACTATTCACAACACACGACACTATTCACAACACATGACACTATTCACAACACACGACTCTATCCACAACACATGACACTGTACACAACACACGACACTATTCACAAGACATGATATTATTCACAACACATGACACTGTTCACAACACATGACACTATTCACAGCACATGACACTGTTCACAACACATGACACTATTCACAACACATGGCACTGTTCACAACACATGACACTATTCACAACACACGACACTATTCACAACATATGACACTATTCAACAACACATGATACTATTCACAACACATAACACTGTTCACAACACATGACACTGTTCACAAGACACGACACTATTCACAACACGTGATACTATTCACAACACATGAGACTGTTCACAACAGAACACTATTCACAACCCGACCCTATTCACAACACGACCTTTTTAACATCGGATGACACTATTCAGAACACGGCTCTATTCACAACACACGACTCTATCCACAACACATGATACTATTCGCAATACACGACACTATTCACAACACACGACACTATTCACAACACACGACACTGTTCACATCACACGAGACTGTTCACAACACTTGACACTGTTCACAACACACGATACTATTAACAACACATGATAATATTCACAACACATGACACTATTCACAACACATGATAATATTCACAACACACGACTCTATCCACAACACATGACACTATTCACAACACTTGCCTCTATCCACAACATACGAAACTGTTAACAACACACGACTCTATCCACAACACATGATACAATTTAAAACACATGACACTATTCAGAACACGACCCTATTCACAACACATGATACTATCCACAACACACGACTCTATCCACAACACATGATACTATTCACAACACATGACACTATTCACAACACACGGCTCTATTCACAACACATGACACTGTACACAACACAAGGCACTATTCACAACACATGATAATATTCACAACACATGACACTATTCACAACACATGATAATATTCACAACACACGACTCTATCCACAACACATGACACTATTCACAACACAAGACACTATTCACAACACTTGCCTCTATCCACAACATACGAAACTGTTAACAACACACGACTCTATCCACAACACATGATACTATTCAAAACACATGACACTATTCAGAACACGACCCTATTCACAACACATGATACTATCCACAACACACGACACTATCCACAACACACGACTCAATCCTCAACACATGACACTGTACACAACACAAGGCACTATTCACAACACATGATATTATTCACAACACACGACACTATTCACAACACGTGATACTATTCACAACACATGACACTATTCACAACACACGACACTATTCACAACACGTGATACTATTCACAACACATGACGCTATTTACAACACACGACACTATTCACAACACACGACACTATTCACAACACGTGATACTATTCACAACACACGACACTGTTCACAACACACGACACTATTCACAACACACGACACTATTCACAACACATGACACTCTTCACAACACACGACACTATTCACAACACATGACACTATTCACAACACACGACACTATTCACAAGACACGACACTAATCACAACACATGACACTATTCACAATAAATGACACTATTCACAACAAACGACACTATTCACAACACACGACACTATTCACAACACGTGATACTATTCACAACGCGTGATACTATTCACAACACACGACACTATTCACAACACATGACACTATTCACAACACATGACACTATTCACAACACATGACACTATTCACAACACACGACACTATTCACAACACACGACACTATTCACAGCACGTGATACTATTCACAACACACGACACTGTTCACAACACACGACACTATTCACTATTCACAACACACGACACTATTCACAACACACGACACTATTCACAACACACGACACTATTCACAACACATGACTCTATTCACAACACAAGACACTGTTCACAACACATGACACTATTCACTATTCACAACACATGACACTATTCACAACACATGACTCTATTCACAACACAAGACACTGTTCACAACACATGACACTATCCACAACACATGACACTGTTCACAACACATGACACTATTCACAACACATGACACTGTCCACAACACATGACACTGTTCACAACACATGACACTGTTCACAACACATGTTACTATTCACAACACATGACACTATTCACAAGACCACTCTATTAACAACACGACCCTTTTCCCAACACATGACGCTATTCACTACACATGCCAATATTCAACCCCGAGAGTTGAGCTGATGCCTTCTTTAATCACGATTACAGCCCTAACATCATGTTTCTATTTGCATGTGTTCTTAAAGATGCCACTGATAAGGGTTGGAAACTCTAAACATGTGATGGAAGGGATCTGTGTGACCTTCTGACCTGCTTTAGTTTGACTATGTTATCTCAGTGCCGCTGTTACAGGTCATTGGCTCCCTCCCTCTGCAACCAGTTTGCGTTCTGCTGTTTATTTTGTTGACAGTTACATAGACATATTCTTTAATACAAATGCATAAAATCGGTGATTTACAATGTGATTGGGTTGTCTGACAAAACATCCACTTGCACAGTTTGAGATCGATTGGGTCATTGGATGAAGCTCGAGATATTTACAAAAGACCGGGTCGACATGCATTTCATGCCAAACTATAGTCACTTCTACTGAGATGTTCCTTGTCGACAGTCTATCCATTACCTCGTTCTTGAGTGACACAATGTGGTTAAGTGGTACAAGGCTTTTGGTTCGAATTTCAGATTATGCGCGGTTTCGATTTGTCCTGTAAAGACCAGATCAGTAATTCATTAAGTTAAACGTTCGTAAATGTTAGTTACATTATATCTACCGACCGTGAATTATGAAATCCTTCACTCCTTGCATTACAATAAATGCTAGTAAATTTCCTCCATTGTTAATTACGCGACATGAGCTATATAGTATGGAGGAATTAATGCATGTAAAAACATATCAATGCCGAACATCACGCTAACACACAAACAGATATAACTTCATTGGTTACTATATACTTTACGACTGCTTTATGGCTAGGTAGATTCAATAAACGTACTGTATCAGCACAGACCACACTCACCTCCGTCTTCGCCCGTATCTACACCCCAAAGGAAGCTGTTAGTGCCCTTGTGTTGTGTTATCAGAACCAGGGTCAGTGGGACAGCGTGTCTCCTTATCTATGTCTTCGCCCGTATCTACTCCCCAAAGGAAGCTGTTAGTGCCCTTGTGTTGTGTTATCAGAACCAGGGTCAGTGGGACAGCGTGTCTCCTTGTCTATGTCTCCTTAAGCGTGTGTGTTTGTTTGTGGTTTAACGCCACCATAGTCTAGCTATATAGCGGTGGTCTGTAAAAGCATTGATCTTCGCAATGGGGATGCAATGATATGTGTCAATCTGGTCAGCGAGCCTGACCACCTGATCCCGTTAGTCGCCTCTTACGATTAGCATGGGTTGCTGAAGACCAGTTTCTAACCCGGTCCAATGCTGCAGTAAAGACTTGTCCAGAAAGGTTGATTAAAGAAACGTCACTATAATCAATATGTACTGGCTGGATACTTTACCATATACCAGATGTATACTTATACAATATTACTCATATACTACATACTGTATAATACACGGCAAACACCAAGGGAATTAATGAATTGAAAGTAGCTGTCACAGAGGTTTACATTTACCATACTGAACAATATTGCATCTGAACGCAAACTGTATTCACAAAGATACTTCACTCCATGCTGGAACACCATGAGTTGCACGAGTGGATATCACAAATGCAACTGAGCTAAACACAAAACTAATTATCTCAAAAAATCACCTCGCCGAACAGTCACAATGCCAATTAATGATCTGGATGCTACAAGTTATTATTGATAGCTGCCCAAATGTTTGGCATATCACACAAATTTCTCGACTGTGGTACAGGGACGGCGAAACGGGTGGGGTTGCAGTGAGACCTGGCTGTGGTACAGGGACCGCGAAACGGGTGGGGCTGCAGTACAGGTACCGAGAAACGGGTGGGGGTTGCAGTGAGACCTGGCTGTGGTACAGGGACCGTGAAACGGGTGGGTTGCAGTGAGACCTGGGTTTAGTACAAGGACTGCGAAACGGGTGGGTTGCAGTGAGACCTGGCTGTGGTACAGGGACCGTGAAACGGGTGGGTTACAGTGAGACCTGGCTGTGGTACAGGGACCGTGAAACGGGTGGGTTGCAGTGAGACCTGGGTTTGGTACAAGGACTGCGAAACGGGTGGGTTGCAGTGAGACCTGGCTGTGGTACAGGGACCGTGAAACGGGTGGGTTACAGTGAGACCTGGCTGTGGTACAGGGACCGTGAAACGGGTGGGTTGCAGTGAGACCTGGGTGTGGTACAAGGACTGCGAAACGGGTGGGTTGCAGTGAGACCTGGGTGTGGTACAGGGACCGTGAAACGGGTGAGTTACAGTGAGACCTGGGTGTGGTACAGGGACCGTGAAACGGGTGGGTTGCAGTGAGACCTGGGTGTGGTACAGGGACCGTGAAACGGGTGAGTTGCAGTGAGACCTGGCTGTGGTACAGGGACCGTGAAACGGGTGGGTTACAGTGAGACCTGGCTGTGGTACAGGGACCGTGAAACGGGTTGGGTTGCAGTGAGGCCTGGCTGTGGTACAGGGACCGTGAAACGGGTGGGTTGCAGTGAGACCTGGCTGTGGTACAGGGACCGTGAAACGGGTGGGTTGTAGTGAGACCTGGGTTTTGTACAGGGACCGTGAAACGGGTGGGTTGCAGTGAGACCTGGGTGTGGTACAGGGACCGTGAAACGGGTTGGGTTGCAGTGAGACCTGGGTGTGGTACAGGGACCGTGAAACGGGTGGGTTGCAGTGAGACCTGGGTGTGGTACAGGGACCGTGAAACGGGTGGGTTGCAGTGAGACCTGGCTGTGGTACAGGGACCGTGAAACGGGTGGGTTACAGTGAGACCTGGCTGTGGTACAGGGACCGTGAAACGGGTTGGGTTGCAGTGAGACCTGGCTGTGGTACAGGGACCGTGAAACGGGTGGGTTGCAGTGAGACCTGGGTGTGGTACAGGGACCGTGAAACGGGTGGGTTGCAGTGAGACCTGGGTTTGGTACAGGGACCGCGAAACGGGTGGGTTGCAGTGAGACCTGGGTGTGGTACAGGGACCGTGAAACGGGTTGGTTGCAGTGAGACCTTGGTTTTGTACAGGGACCGCGAAACGGGTGGGTTGCAGTGAGACCTGGGTGTGGCAGATCATACGACATTACATTGAATGCACCGCGGAATAGATTCAAATCAGCTCCTGTTATTAACAGAGATTTCCGAAAATATACATAAAGAACTGACCAACATTAACCCTTGATATTATACACGAGGAGGAGTAGATACAGTGGAGACCTTGATGGATGTGAGTTACTTCCCCTTACAGTCACTATCATCAGGTTACTAAACCAAATTATTTCACACTGGCATCTATGGTGTTTTTCAAATTAGCTATTCCATTAACAGCTATTATACGTGCATGTGTGCATAGTCTATTCTTAAAGCAGCACACACACACGCTCACACACTGTGGCAAAACATGAGGGAACTGATAGTGAAGGTGAATTCATGATAATTTCTGCGTCGCCTAGAACTTTCTCTGGCATCTGTGACTTGGGGGCATAACCTTGATTTAATCTGAAATAAGCATGACGTAACGCCATTAGTGCACAGCCCAAATCTCTGTCGCCTACAGTATGTTGTTAGGACAACTCCTTACAGATTTACTGTTACAGAAACTCCTTACATTCAGGCGCTAAATGTTTAGCGTCTTATCGTGTATTTTCGGAAATCTCTATTAAGAGAGCATGAGCTGATTTGAAGCTATTCCGCAGTGCAATCACTGTAATGATGTAGAGATAATGTAAATACCCTTTATGAACGTTTAACTTGCGTAATCTGGTATTCGAACCCAAAGCCCTTTTCAACACTTAACCACACGAGGTATGTCACTCAAGAACAAGGCAATGGATAAACTGTCACCAAGGAACATCTTAGTAGAAGTAACAAGTCTAACGAGTTTTGTGTGAAGTGTGAAGATAGCGAGTAACATTGAGTGTGTCGTGATTCAGATGACACAGTCGATGCAAAGCAGGTCAGACAAGGCTCTCCACATTTACCCCTTCCATTATATTACAATGTATTAACATGGAGGAAACATGCAACATTTAACAAATATTTTATGACATTATATGTTGTTGATAAGTGGAAATATTACAGACTAACTGACCACGTTCCTCGATCTTAAACCTGCCAAAGGTCACATTGATAACTAACATCGGACATAATCCAGGTCAAGTATCTCTAAAGCTTATAGAACCAAAGTGCAATACGTTTATCTCTTTTTACGGCTGTTTGTATTCCACGTCGACCACGTATACCTTCGTGGCATACTCGCAACTGGTCATCCACTGTCCACACTTATTATCGATGCTTCAGTCAAACTAAATGACATAATCTCATACGTTATCGTACGTTTTATCACTAAATGGAATAGGTATATAATACGGATAACAGTCACTGGGTGGCTGTCTAGTAAATTCACTCACCTAGGAAACTTTCTCCTACTTTATAAAAATCTTTATGCTATATTGTCTTAAGTTTTAACCACCGTACCTTAACTATATGTTCCGAGCCTTGGCACTTCCCTCAGGTTGATGTTGAACGTGGCATATTTTCGTATATTTCAGTATTACTGTTTAGGATTGTTAATTTAATGCAGATTAACACTACACTATTTTGTGACTATCATAGAATGTACAGAGAGTGTCGGGTACACTAACTATTGCATTACGTTGTGACCACTATGCTGTTTTGTGACTATCATAGAATGTAGATTGTACGAACGCCCACTGGGGTGATGTGTAAAGTGTTGAACAATTGCATAACGTTGTATACTTTTAAATGTGCATCGTGATTAATGTTACAGTAGTATGTGGAACGAATCTACATGTGACGTGTATTTACTTTGATAGATGATTGTATTGTGAACATGCTCTAATACATAATTGCAACCGTTTCTATTATTGACTGATTATGTAAAAGATCATTCAGGGGCTGTGTAATAAACTCCTCGTCAATTTACGCAGGTATTGTGTTGTGTGTGTGTTGGTATTGTCAGCCTCTCGCCAAGCGAGCTGATCCCCCAACACTCGCGTGTTGATAATATGTTTAGTATTCCGAATCTGTTTCAGTGGCATCCTTATGCAAGTACACCTGCAAGTTGAAACCTGATGTTAACTTATACGGTTTAATCGTGTTTAAAGAAGGGATCAGCTCAACTATCTGGTTGGTGTTCATACTTGTCTTTCACCTGACATTTTTGAATCGATAATGGTGTTAGTTGTGAGTGGTATCATGTCTTGTAGATTGTGTCGTAATTTGTGAATACTCTCATGTGTTGTAGATTGTGTCGTTATTTGTGAATGGTGTCGATATTTGTAAATACTCTCATGTGTTGTGAATAGTGTCGATATTTGTAAATACTCTCATGTGTTGTGAATAGTGTCGATATTTGTAAATACTCTCATGTGTTGTGAATAGTGTCGATATTTGTAAATACTCTCATGTGTTGTGAATAGTGTCAGGTAAAAATGGCATGTGTTGTGAATAGTATGGTGTTTTTAATAATATCACGTGTTGTGAATAACGTCGTTAGTTGTGAACAGTGTCATGTGCAGTGAATAGTTTCAGGTGTTGTGAATAGTGTCATGTGTTGTGAATAGTGTTGTTAGTTATGAATGGTGTCATGTGTTGTGAATAGTGTTGTTAGTTATGAATAGTGTCATGTGTTGTGAATAGTGTTGTTAGTTATGAATGGTGTCATGTGTTGTGAATAGTGTGATTTTTAATATTATCAAGTGTTGTTATTAATGTCGTTAGTTGTGAATTGTGTCATGAGTTGTGAACTGTCATGTGTTGTAAATAGTGGCGTGTGCTGTGAATAGTGTTGTGTGTTGTGAATAGTGTCGTGTGTTGTAAATAGTGGCGTGTGCTGTAAATAGTGGCGTGTGCTGTGAATAGTGTCGTGTGTTGTGAATAGTGTCGTGCTCAGTGAATAATGTTGGGCTGTCATGATTTACTTCACTCTAGTACGTCATAAAGTGGACATGCCGATCTGTTTTAACAAGTCC